TCCGTTTGAAGCCTCCTAGGCGGCTTTCCATGAACACAGCTTGCGCTGCCGTCCTTTTCCTTTGAGAATTCAGGCCCATTAATTGCCACTAGTTTCCGTTTCACATGTCTCACCCAGTGTAGAGGAAAGACTACAAGATGGTGGAGTTTCGGCCTGCGGGCTTGGGTGTTTGGTTTTGGGTTGGTTTTGGGGTCTTTGTTCCTTTCTCCACCATCTGTCTGTTCTTCCCTTCCTTCAACGATGACCTGGGCACCATGCCCACACGGCGTCCGTACTCGTGGAAAAAAAAAGATGACCTGGGCACCATGCCCACACGGCGTCCGTACTCGTGGAAAAAAAAGTGGGGTTGTGGTTTGGGTTTGGTTTTTGTTTGGTCTTGTTGGTTTTGGGTTCTGTTGGGTGTTTTCTTTGCTTCGCAACCCGGCTAGTAACTCTCTCTTATGGCACAAGATGACCTGCAACCTCTGCACACATGGCGTCTCCACCCGTGCAAAAAAAAGTCGACATTCCTGAAAAGTCAAAACATGCGCAAAACATGCACAGAGTGACTGAGAGGCAGGTTTGCTTGTTTGACGCCCCGTTTTGTTTCGCCTTCCTCGTTTTGTTTTCACTCTTGCATGACCCGATGAGTTGCGTCTTGGCCAGGTTGGTTGCTTGGGTTGTTTTGTGTTTGGGTTGCTGTTTTGTTTGGTTTGTTTCTTACACCCTGGCCAACGACTCACCTTCAAGTAGCGCACGATGACCTGTGCATTCTCTGCACACAAATGGCCAAGACCTGAGAGCTGTTAAAAGTGGATTGGTAAGATGCAGCATGGCAAGTTGCAGTGTGAAGGCCGCTGCTTTTTGTCGCAGTTCCTAGCCGTTGGCATCTGCCGCACCACGTGCCATGATCTGATTTGCGGATCATTTTTCAATCTTGGTGTCGTGTGATTTTTTCACGGTCGTTGAGATTTCGCGTGTTGGGTCCAGCTGTTTGACTTTTGAATATTTTTTCTCACTTTTGTGCTCCGATGGCTGATTCTCGTCCTCGCTCAGGATCCCTTTGAAAATGTATTATTCTGTGCGTGGGGGCCGTGATCGTAACTCCTGAAGGAATTTCAGCCTTCTGCAACAAATCGTTGTCGTCGTTGTCACCAAGGGACTGTGAGCAGTCAGCTGAAGTCTTACGCTTTCTTGCTGGTGTGTCCTTTGAGGTTTCCGAACATGTACGAAGCTACCTTTGCTTCCATGCTGTGCCGTGAGATTCTCAAAGCTGATCCACAATTTCATGTCATCGAGGAGAAAACACGAAGTTCTTGTGTATCGAGGGCAATTCGGTCAAGCAGATACAATCAGTGCTGGACTGTCGAAGGGAGTTCGAGAGACTCAAGGAACCCTGTTCTTTAGAGAAGGCAGACTGAACAGAATTATGATGGCGGCAGAGTGAACTATAATAGCTGAGGGGCGCTCACACCGAGGGGTAGTGTGAAGAGTTTTCAACATAGATCACAGGTATGACGGTACAGCATACTTAGCATCTCTCACTTGACCATAACCCTTTGAGTGATCAGAAAAAGTTCGCACAAAAATGTTCTTCAAAAGGGTGTTAGAACACTGTGCCACAAGAGTGCCACAGTGAAGTTCGTGGGTTTTATGTGGGTGTATTTTACCGTAGTTGTGCCTTGCGCTGCTGAACACCCACTCATCACTCGTCGATGTTGTGTCTCACATTAGTTTTCTATTTTTTCACTTGTTTTGTCCATGAGGCGGGGTGGCAAAATTTCCCACAGTTGTGCTTGGTTGTTTCGAAGCCAATCATTGGGAGGCTAAAACTTTGCTAATCATAGAGGCCGCAGATACCTGCAGCAATTTCAGGAAGTTGTCAAATTGAGCCGCGCAGTTTTGTTGTGGAGTAAGATGGTAAAACGCATTTTTGCTGCTATCAGGAAGTGGACACCTACATCACGTTTCATCCCAACACATTTTTTGTGTCAAGCGAACTACTTGTGTCTTTTTGCGCCTGCCATGGGTGTCGGACTCAGGGGCGTGAAACTATGAACCATGCTGCGGTTCAAGCCTCCAAAGCAGAAAACGGCTTGTGGAAACGATGGTCGGATCGCCGTGCCAATGAGGCTCCGGTGCATCAACCTCACGAGAGCCTGAAGAGGACGACCTATTTGAATAGCTGCAGGTAGCTGTGGTTTGGGTTTGGAAGGTCCAGGCGGGCAAAGTTGCTCACTTATTTTGTTTTCCCAGCTGCTCGTTGTGTCACCGCAGGAGAGTGAAGGGGTAGCCTCTGCAGCAGCAGCTTTGCTCAGTGGAGCATCTTTGGAGGTTTGGGCCCTGTCTTCCACGCAAGGTTAGATCCAAAATATCTGCCCACCATTCATCACTGCTCCTGGGAGGCTTTGTCTTTGGATCAGCGTGCGGCGCTGGAACAGGTGAAATCTTTGCTGGAGGAGGAGATGCCTTAGCAATTCTTCTGGGATATGTCTTGATGCAATTTGTGGGTTCAAAGCCATTACATATTCATAGTTGGAACTGCATTCCAGACTTGGGAGCCGGGCTAGTTGTGCTCTTGTTTCGTGTGTTCGGCTGGGACGTGGAGGCTGTGAGGTTTGGTATTCTGCCACGGTTCATTCTGATGGCCGAGACAATGTTGACAGTTTTGGGTTCCTGTTGGTAAGAGATACCCTCCACAGGTATATCAGCAGTATATCCTTGAGCGCGGCGCCACCCATTAATGGTGTTCTTTCCCAGTATTTGGTCCAGTCTGACTTGGTCCATGAGGTTCCAATGCGCAGCGCGCATTTGGGAATGCAAAGCAGGAACCAGTCTTTGTGTAGCAAGGTGCCATTGTAGAGCAACTGATTGCTTTGCTTCACAGTGCAGGACTGAAAAATTCGGGGTCCTGTGGCGGTTTTGGAGTAATACCGGCGGCGTCCATATATTTGTTGAAGCGATGCGATCGTTTTTCTGAGACTTTTTCTCACAAACTGATTTATGCCTCCAGGAACGTGTTCAAACGAATCAGTTGCCCGAGCAAAACGTTTTCTTCTGGGCTGGTTTGGTTGCCTGGTTTCTCACCCCGAAAAGGGGCTTGGAAGCCCAGAGTTGGAGAGACCCAACTGTTGCGTCTGATACCTTCATCCCCTTGATCAAGGACACAGTCTCGTTTTGGCTCGTCAAGGTGGAAGCTGGCTGGATCAGAGAGATGGGATAGGTGTCCGGCTTGGCCGCGCTGTGGGCCTTGTCTTCTCCGCCTTGTTGGGGGATTCTCCAAGCCTTGTGTCCAGGCCTTGTGTGAGTCTGTATGTCCTCGTTGTCCGCGCCATCGGCCCTCTTATCACCGGTGTCCGCCCCGCCGCCGTTTTCCCTTCCTCCACTGCCTTGTAGACGTTTCCGGAATTCGGGGAACCGACGCAAAATAGGTAGAGCTGAAACTGTCTGGGGTCTATGCTGGCATATTCTTTTTCTCTCAAACATCAACATGCTCTTGTTTGCCGCGGTGTCAAGACACTGGAAGAGCTGCTGCTTTTCCTCTTGGACATGTCACATGTCATTCGGGTTGGATCAGGTGGGGTTGTCTCAAGGCAGTGAACTGACAGCATCTCCCAGCATCTCCATGACAGGATGGTTGGAGGAAAGGCAACAGGCATGGGCAAAGTGTACCAGTGCCACAAGACATGCCATAGGTGCTTCACCAAAGGAACCATGGTAGGAAGCAGCTACTCCATTGGGTTGAAGGCATGTAGGAAGTCTATGGACTTGCCTCAGGCGGAAGGGCGTCAATGTCCACTTCAAGTACTCTGGCGAGGTGCGTTCTGTCAAGCTTCAATGAACTCCTTCCCTTGTCAGCCAATCAGGTTATATAGTCTTGTTCTTCAGTCGAGTCCTTTCAGATTGCTGCTGACACGTCACACGCTCGACGACTGTGAGTAGCAGGCAGCATGTGCAATGGACATTTGTCAAGTCGTACACGTGGATGTAGGAGCGACAGAAAGTCGACAGCGAGAAAAGCGACAGAGGAGGCTACTAGGGGCTCCTGGCCTTACTACGAGCAAGGACGCTACTAGGGACTTCAGCTTGACGGATCCGATGTAGTCATGCAGCTTTGGCATGGGTGTTTGCATTCAAAGTCTCCTCAACAAAACATAAGTGCTGATTCACCGAGGATCACTTGCACCCAGATCCAAGTAGCAAAAACACTGGAAGAAACCCAGCTCCACAGACGAAGCCTTTGCCCGTTGCATGGTGCGTTCCATGACTGGACCTTTCAGATCGACCATTCAACGGCTGCTCACACTGGCGCTGGTAGCGCTGTGCCCCACGTTTCTTCAGCCTTGGGGGACTTTGAGGCCGCGAACCCAACTCCGCGCGGCACAGCTGGAATACTTTGAGGTATACACCAAGGACGACTTCGTTTGGAACTAGCCGAATGCACGGGGGCTTCTAGATGGGGTGGTTGATTTTGTTCTACTGCTTTAGCCATTTCCCGACAAATCTTTGGATAAAGCTGTCAAGAAAGTGAGCAGTTGGACTCTGGACGTATGAAGCTGGGGTGTTGTGGGATTTGGAAGGTGGACGTTTATGTGTGCAGGAAGACCACTGAAGTGCAGAATCACCGTTTGGACGGTCATTTTTGTAGCACATACAAGAGTTCTCTTTCCCCTGGAGATTCACGCTTCGTGAATCCTACTTCGATGGTGGTCCATATCCTGCAAGTTGCTGCATTCCTGCGAGGATGAGTTCCTGAAGCTCTTGCAAGAGCGACCGACTGAGCAGCGCTCTGTTGGGGAGCAGGAGAAGATTGAACGAGTCCTAGCTACAGATGTGGCGCTTATTGTGCAGAAGCACACCTTTCCCATCTCAACGCGGTCAGGTTGGGTTTTCGACTGAAAGCGGGTCCTGTTTGCAACGCTCACATCCGAACCTGTTTCATTGTCTGAGCTTGGGCTTGATCCTTGGAATGAGCTAGCTCTGTTAGAAGAATCTGCCCACGAAACTTGAATCTGTGAGGAATGGTGAGCTTTCTGGAAGCCAAGAACCCAACTGCTCGAGCTGCAGAGTCCATGTTGCTCGTGGGTCGATGGCAGCTGGCCTTTTGTGGAGTCAACCGGGGCCTAAAGGTGCCTTGGACATGCCAACAGTTTTCCAAGACCCCGAAGGGTCCATGTCCAGGCTTGTGACTTGATGTTGCCAATCCGCCAGGTCCAGCCAGTGCTTGATGCTTTGAAGGAAGAATCGTTGCCTAAGACCTCAGAGATTCAATCCGTGAGCTTGGAGATCTTCCAGGATCGCTGACGGTGGACATCGGCCCCTCCGACCCCGTGGACGGAAGGCGGTTTTTGGATAATATGTTTGGACTTTTGGGACTGGATGTTTGTTTACCAATCCCTGGATCCTCCAGGATCTTAGAAACACCTGACCCACAACTAAGTGAAACCAACTCGGCTCTGTTTGTGGGGTTGTGGGGTTGATGTAGGTGTGTGGGTCAACTCAGAGGACTACTCCATGAAGACGGAGATCGTGGCGGCGGGATCCTCCTTTGCGCGCCAGTCGCCGCTGAAGAAGCCTCCGCCGCGTGGGGAAGTGCTCAAGGAGGAGGAAGGCTTCAAGCGTTACGTCAAGGTGGTTCGGTGGTTCACCGCTTTCAAACCTTTCTATTTCCTAGAAGGGAGATTACATTGCATTCGTTCTTTCCGTGACACCTTCATCTGTACAACTTCCGTTCGATGGTAGATATGGTTTGGTGTCTCCGTTCGCTTGGCGTTTGGATCCACTGCGAAGTTCTTTGAGGTCACCTACTTGGATGATGATTTGCTCATCCTTCGAGGCCGCGGCGCATCGGAGGTCTATCGGAAGGTGCCCTGAGATCTGGACGAAACCCCGCCCGGGCCGTGGCATCAAAGAAGTGCTGCACCGAGCGCCGGCTTGACGGGATTGATTGTCTGACTGGCTTTCATGCGAAGGAAAAGCGAGAATCGATTGGAAAAAGTGAGATGAGACTGTGTAGAGCTCGAGGTTACAGAGGTTTATGGGGTATGCGGGCCTCAGGAAGCATAGCAGCTGGCCCACAATGAATTCTGCTTTTGTTGAACCAAGCACGCAGATGCAATCAGTATGACTCCGCAGTCGAACGTTTGGCAAGTTGATGTATATACTGTTACTTAAGTTGTAATCCTAGCAAGTAGTGAAATGCTATGAAATGCTGATGAAATGCGCTGGCCTATGGGGCACAATCGTGGACCTCCGAACAGACGCACAGTGTGCAGAATACAAAGGGCGGTAATCAACCTGTCTTACATCATCTTATATCCAGGTTCCAAGTCTTTCCCAAAACTCAGGGCACTCTTTTGGGCCTTTCCAACGCTTCAACCCGACGAACGACGCCGTCCACCAGGCCGGGCTCAACTACGTCTGCTCAACATGCAGGGTGCCCGACAGTGCTGCAGCGATGTTCGAGGACCAAGTGGGAACTACTTGGCAGCTTCCTGTTACTACATGACTGGTAGTATGGCCAGGAGCTACTAGTAGCTTCTTGCTCCTAGTAGCGATGCCCTTGTTGGTAGCAGCTTCTTGTTACGTTCGTAGTAAGAATGCTCCCAGTAGCGATGCCAGGAGCGCCTAGTAGCGTCCTTGCTCCGAGTAGTAAGGCCAGGGCCCCTAGTAGCTTCTTGTTACTAGTGGAGATGATGTATAAAGATCCATGCACAAGCCATTTCTGTGTCTAGGGTTATGGTGGCCTTGGGATCTGACCAACAGAGGAAGAAACAAATGATGAAGCTGTTGGTGCTATAGGCGAATCCCGAAGCAAGTGAATATATATATATATATATGTGTATACTGGGGCCAAGTGAACCCGGAACATCCAGATGTTGCCGTCATAGCTTCGGAAGAATATGAGGCCTTAGATGCTTCTGGGAGATCCACAACCTCAGCGGCTCTAGCGTAGTATTAGGACGCTATTCGGCGGAGGCAACCGCAAGTAGGTTGGAGGCCATCGCTACTAGTAACAAGAAGCTACTAGTAACAAGGGGTTTGTTTCGACTCAGTTGCAGTTTTAGCTCGAGCCAACGAAGCGTGCGCGTCCAGCCGGGGGGCCTTCGGCCCCCCCAAAAGCGAGGCGTCCAGCGGGGCGTCCGGCGGGGTGAGTCGAGCGGCGCTCGCTTGCGCATAGCTGCATAGCTGTGGCAAGCTTTAGAGTCATGGCTTCCCATTCTTGGGGTTTGGATGGTATCCTATTTATGAGACATAGCCACATGTCATTCAACTAGAGGACACCATTGATGCTTTTGTGCATGTGCTGGTTTACACATTGATTTCAAAGTCAAACATCCCACTTTGAGGTAACACATGCATGGTCATCGACCATTGCAGCGGTCCACCGTCGAACCAGGGCCGCCCGGTATCGATGCCGAGTGGCATCGATGCTGCGCTGAAGTCCCTCAAGGCGGATGCCAACATTCCACAGCCAACGAAGGTGGGGAGGATTTGGGTGACTCCAAATTTTCCTTAGTATTGCATTTTGACACATTTTGACAGTATGAGTATTGCATGAGTTGTTGGGCTTGAACTTAGTGGTGATCACGAGCTATATGGGTTCCACATGCTCGACTGAAATCCGAAAAGCCCTCTTCTCGAATGCGTTCTTTGGTTCAGGTGAACTACAATGGCTTTGAGCCAGAAAAGAAAAAGAAGCCCGAAGTCAGTGAAGTGACCATTGATCCGGCGGAACTTGGTCTCGACTCTGGGCTGAGAGTAAGCCCAACTAGCGGTTCGAATACGGAACTTTCAAACTCTTGCGACCTTTGTTTGGGCAAGGCGTTCAGAATAAGTCTTTTTGGTGAAGAAAGAGACAACAAGCTTGGACATGCTGACATGCTGAGTCTTTTTGTAGCTGGCACTGCGGCAATTGCTCAGGAAAAATGCCAAAAGATTGTTAAGGAGCAGGAGTTTAAGATCCGGAAGTTGAAGGAGAAGATGGCGGGCATTGCTCCAACCAAGAAGAATAAGGCATGGAAACTGCAGAAACTGCTTCTGCAACCTCCAAGCAGATCGAGGGATACGAAATTGGCAGGCAGAGATCAATGCCGTGAAGGAGCAGATCGAAGAGCTCCAGGTGCGGAATGTATCCTGTAGCGCCTGACGGAAGAATTTAAAATTAAGATAGTTACGCTGGCACAGTTCTCTTGGTCTTTGAAGTGGGTAGGGTGTCTCTACCAAGTGCTGGAGGATTTCTCCATCGACAGGCTCTATCAATATATATATATATAACTATATATATACACATACATATATATATATATCAGCTCGTCACCATAGAAAAGGAGCGAGAAAAATAAAGCATATATATATATGTATACATATCAATATATATATACATATCAATATATATATATATACATATACAATTGGCTTCCATGATGGATTGTACAGGTAGATCGCCATGGATCAAAACCTACTGCACCAGGTATTGCTAATGAAGGTCTTTCTTTTGATGTGATGATGTTCACCAGAGGTCCCGCCCACAGGACTCCATAAGTCATTAGAATTACGCACAAAAACGGTTGCTTCCAGCAAACTTGGCGATGGATCACAAGAACCTACAGTTTGGAACAAGAAGCTATTAGGAACAAGTGCCACGCTAGTAGTAACAGGTGCCTTACTAGTAGTAACAAGAAGCTACTAGGAACAAGTGCCACACTAGGTTTTACCATCCTCCAGCGACACCTCTTGGCCCGGTCGGGCACCCAACAATGAATGTACGGTGTTTGTGCACAGGTGTTTTTGAAGGTGTGTTGGTATGAGAGTATTTTCACCGTTGGAAGATGGTGGACCCTGTCTAGTAGAAGAGACTGGTCTCTTGTATTCTGAGAAACCACCGATACACCCTTAGTTACATACATACTCCCATACATACAATCACTTAAGAAAGATCCTGATTGTACTTGCTCCGCTCTTCTATCAATTATGGTCAACCTACTCATACCTGCTTGGGCCAGGCCGATGGCAATTACCGAGCTGCGATGAGCTTCGTGCGTAAGGCCGAGGAGGCCTGAATGGGACGACCGAGAGGGCTTTGATAGACTGATAGACTTCAACTTCGACAAACCGCCTTGACGGTTTGTCGCAATCTGTGCGTTTCACATTCTTTTTCGATATTCTAGTTGATGTCCTAGCAAGCACGTTGATTAAGACTGTGCCCTGACAGGAAGAGCGAGATAGACGGCGGGCGGAACGGGAGAAGGACGATGAAGAGGCGCTAGTTGGCGGCGGCCTTGGCAAGAAGAAAGGCACCGTTTGCGTCGAGGATTTGCTGTTTGCGTGTGCTTTCCCGGCGGGAACGGCAAACTACTGGTTGTTAAGTTCCATACGGTCGTTTTGAGAAGTAGCCCTTTGATGCACTTTGAACATGTCCATTTGACATTTATTCATTTGCTTGTTATGTCCATGTGGTAGGTCCTAGCGAGCCAGCTCCAAAGAAGGCAGCAGCCGCCAGCACTGAGGCTTAGGGTGACGACTGTTGCCACATATATCAGAGACATGAGATATTGATTACTTTTTGGTTATATAGTATGATTGTCCTTGCTATGTCGATTCAGGTTCTTTTTTGGTTCACATCAGATTCAAGTGATGCCAAATCTGTACAGTGTGATGGTTTCTCCAAGCCCTTTGAGGTTTACTCTAGTAACAAAGGGCATCGCTACTAGGAGCAAGAACGCTACTAGTAGCTCCTGGCCTTACTACTAGGAACAAGAACGCTACTAGGAGCAAGGGCATCGCAACTAGTAACAAAGGGCATTGCTACTAGTAACTAGTATACTAGGAACAAGAAGCTACTAGTAACATGCGACGCACTTCTGCACTTTCGTCTCGGAAGGGCTACAGGTGCCGACACCACCAATACCCAAGACCCAGCTGGTTTGCTGCTTTGTGCAGGCGGATGCAGCTGCATCGGCCGACTTTGATGCTGATGCAGAGGCTGGCCAGCTAGATTGACTGGTTTCCGTTTTGGTGCACAACGTCATTTAGGAAAGTACTGCGCATAATATGACCATCGCTTCTCCATAAACTCATTGACTCATGCTGGGCCTTCAATGCGTCCACCTGCAGTCATGGTCGACCTTGAAGTTGGTACTCCGCAAGTTTTGGGTGGATGTTTTGGGTCGGAGCGAGAAGGTCGTGGCGGTGGTGAAGAGCGCGGCGGAGGGTAGCGAGGAGGCGCTAGCACAGCTGCAGAAGGGTGCCGGCGCTGGAAGCTACAAGAGCGCGATCAAACATGAAGTGGATTCCTCAGAGCTCGTGAAGCTGAAGAGCCGACGAGCGAAGTGTGGTCCCCATGGTCCCCATGTTTTTGGCTTGGATTTAGACCGACCCATCCGGATCCTACACCCCCAACCTGGTGCAAGAGCCAGCTCTGACCAAGGATGACCGTTTCAATCCTTGGAACGAGTCTGACTCAAAGACCACAACCTTTTTCTTTTAAGCGGTTGGAGGCCATTGCCACTATGGCACTATGGTAGAGTCCATTGCTATTAGGTTGGATGCCATCGCTATTAGGTGAATATAAAGTATTTTTCTTAAATTAAAGCTCCTAGTAACTTCTTGTTCCTAGTAGTAAGGCCGGAAGCCCCTAGTAGCGTCCTTGCTGCTAACAAGCGATGCCAGGAGCCCCTAGTAGCGATGCCCTTTGCTCCTAGTAGCTTCTTTTTCTTTTGAGCGGGAAAAGCAACCAACCACCTTGGCCTTGCCAAGGTGGCGAGCATGGCCTTCGGTGCCGAGGAGCTGATCAGCGCGAAGATGAAGCGGTCTGGACCTTGGGACGACTTCGTGGTTCGAAGAAAGACGGTTCCCGGCCTTAGTTGGATTTAAAGTCCGGCCGTAACGGTCTGGAATGCCTTCATCTTCATTACAAGAACACTTTCCTCGCTTTCCGGCCTTTCAAGTTAAGCTTCCCAGCTTCCCTGGAAATCTAGGAACCAAATCATGAGCGTGAGCTATCCCGTGTCCAATAGCTAGGATCATCCAAGTAGCTAGGAGCGAACTTCGAAAAAACGAGGTCAAAACGGATCCGGAAAGGCCGGCCGCTTCAGCTGTCTTTCTGCGCTTCCGTGCCGCTTCGGTGCAGGGCGCCCACGCGGGACTCGGCGCTGAAGACGGTGCGAGCGCTCCAGTGGAACCCCGGGGCCACCTTGCCGGCGCTGCCCGCACTGCTGTGGCTCGGTCGCCATCGCATGCGGTGCCGACTGGGAATGAAACAGGGGTTCAAAGGTCTCAGACTACCAGTGACTACCAGTGACTATGTCAGACTACTGTATATAGATTTTGAGATGGAATGTTTAGTTTTGACTTGGCAACTCAGACGCTGAGGCTTTTGCTGGAAGAGACAAAGCTGAAGTCGGAACCTGGAGGTTGGGAATGAGAGGAGCTTGATGTTGTTGTTCAGCAGGTTCCGCTCAATTCAGCTAAATCGCTCAGATGCATTTGGCCAGACTTGTAATTGCAGGAGCCAACAGTGAGTCTGGACGTCGCCCTCCTTCGTCGCTTTTCGTCCCTTGCGCAGGCACTGCCGTCGACCTTTGTCGCGTGGTCTGCCGCTGTGGGCCTCGTAGCAGCGCCGTGCCAGAGGCCGAAAGGGCTTTTGGGTCGGGAGCGAAGTTAGACCAGTGGGACCAGTGTCACTGTGTGTTGTTTGTAAGCATCTATATATGGGTTTCTTGAACTCATTCTAGATCAGGTGGCCATCATTTCAGGTGTGAGGAAGATCACTTCAAAACTTTGGTTTATGCGTGTCAGACAGGCTGCTGTGGAGAAGAACTCAAAAACAAATGCACACAGATGAGCGTTCAAGCTGTCCGTCGAAGTACAATAGTCCTTTGCCCAGAGCTTGGCAGAGCTAAGCAGAGCTTGGTGAGAAGAAACATTTGAAGCTTGCTTTGGACGCTGTTGGTCTCTTCCTGCCAGATGATTTTCCCGGTTCTCCTGGCACACTTGGGCGCTGCAGCTGCGGGAAAATGGCCTTCTGGATGCATTGAAAACTGCAAAGATAGACCAAAGATGTTGGGGCCCAGGCAGGACCATACAGAGCCCCGTAGATCACTGGGCTACAAGACTTCAAGCACTGTCAGAGAAGCTCTACCAGCAAGGCCTCCGTATACCCCAATTGGAACACATTTGCATCATTTGCCCCTCTTTCACTCTGAGGAAGGTGAAAGTGGCGGTGCTTCAGCTCCTGCGAGACTTGCTGCAGTCCTCTCAGCAGCTCCTGCCCAGGCAGACCGGCCTTTGGATGCCGAGACTTGACAAGGATGGTTTTTGAACAGCAGCCCAAGTGACAAGTGGACAACAGGGCAGAAGTCCTTGTAGAAAAGTTTCCGGTCTTATTACAATTTTTGTTTATTTTTTGAGAACGCGAATTGAATCAGATACCCTGCTTCGACACGATGTGGGACTCAGGAAGATCATGTCTGCTCTACGAGATGCAGTTGGTGACGCCCGAAAGGAGGCAAGGGGAAAATGGGAAGAAGGACTTGGCATGATTTGGCTATGCAAGATGTCAGGCTAGACATGAAGCCATAGAAACTCCGTGAGAGGCGGAAGTTGCTCTCACGAAACGCTGTGGAAGTTGTCCCTCTGAGTTTCGTTGCTTTCGGATGCACGGGAAGATTATACTGCCCCAAAGATCCAGAAGAAGATGGAACCAGAGCATACCAGAGCCACCTTTTTGCATTGTTCAAGGACTCAAACCCAAGTGACCCACGTGCAAGGTGAAGAAGGAAGCTGAATCCTTTCTCCGGAATATGGCGAAAGAGCTGGCGCAGACTCCCGAGATCCGCACGCTGGCTGATGACATCATCACCAGCATTTTGGAACCTCGGAGGAAGGCATCCATGTGAGATAGCTAGGATGGTCAGGCAGTCTCAGCATGGCAGTCTCAAACGGACTCCCGAAGTTCGGCACACGTCGCTTTTTCGAGCAGTTTTGGACCACCACCAACACGAATGCTGCTTCGCCACATCGGGCCTTGGCCCGTGTGTTGCCGCCGGCGTGCTGTTCGTGGCCAACCGTTGCACGGCTGGAGCGCGGCTAGACATTGCCTCCACCCTAGTAGCGATGGCCTCCAACCTAGCTTCTTTGTTCCAACAAGCAAGACGTTTTCACATGTTGTGTTTGAGGATAGTGCGAACATGGAGAAGGCCACGGAGATTCTCCACAGGATGGCGAACACCACCTTCCTGAACACAGAAGCTTGGAAGAAGCGAGCAACGGTTAAAGATGTGGATGGTTTCATCATGGCACTCACGCTGGTTTGTTTGACAAGCCAACTCAAGAGCTCCAAGTTTAGGAAAATATATCGATCTGACACCTGTTTTGATAGGAAAAAAGTCACGTGGGCTGATACTCCAAAATACACCGCTTCTTGTCACTTCACTCACCGAGCGTTGCACTGCCGATGGGTCCATTGAGGTTGACTCCTGTGCCTTTGCGTTGCTCTTCCCCACAGTCTCTCGGGCCATGCGAGAGCAGGCGCATGATGCCAAGATGAAAGGTGTGCAGAGCCTTTGCTGACTCCAGTGGTTTTTGCTATCGACCTAGCTGCCGTATGTGATTCCCACAAGACAAAGCTGTTGGCGGATGGGTAGATGACAGATGTTTTAGTAAGCTAGGGTCCAAGAGATTTCTTGCTGAAGAGCTGCTGCAGCAACCCAACTTGATGACCATCCCAAGGTGGATTCAGTGACTGAAGGAAAACTTCTGACAAAATCTCCTCAGCGACACATCTCGCTCTCAGGATCGTGGGTGCATCTGTGAATTTGATTGCAGATCCCGTCCTGTTGCAGCCATATTTGCAAGAGCTTATGCCTCTTCTTCAGGCCAGAGATTGTGCGGATTCAGCAGATACACCTGGCATCACCTGTCAAGACTGTTATGGAAAAACATGGCACTCTCCAATCGATCGACCACACATGGCCGGCGCAGCTCGGTTTCGATCGCTTAGCTGGCTTAGCTCAAGCAGCAGTGAAAGGTGACGACAGAAGTGACATCAGAAGCGAACTTTCTTGATGCATGACTTCTCTTCTCTTGATCACTCAACAGACCCACATTGTTTTTTTCCAAAGGGATTGATGTTCAGTGCCTTGTGCATGTCTCCCTTTAGCCAGGAGTGTTTGTTGCACCCGACCGTGGGGGTCCAGCACGAAGCCGCCAAGAGCTTTGGATCCTTGGCCTTTGGGCTGCCGGAGATCTGCGACAAAGACATGATGCCATTTCTGCTGGAGACCCTCAAGAGTCAGGACGTGGGAGAAAAGGGGTGCGGATGGGGCCTGGCGGCCGTACCGATGACAGGGATGGACATGGGGGAACATCTCCCAGCACTCTATGGTATAGGTTTTGTCTTTCTTTGGGTGTATTTGCAATGTACAAAGGGGCTTGGGCGCTACGCGCTTTTGATTCACTGCCATTCAATCATCTCTTTCCTGAGAGGCACCTCAACATTGATGTTTCCTTTGAAGGTGTGCTCCATCAGACAACTTTCCTCTTGCTCTTCGTGTCACCCAGCTTGAAGTGAAAGCTTCGTGTTGCCTGCCGGTTCCTGGATGGTGCTTCTTGCTTCATCTTCTCCATTCCTGAACCGTAGGTCACTGTAGGTCCCATGAATGGAGTGGAGTGGTCCTGCTTTGGCTCGCCACCCGGAGCAAGTCGCCTGGCCTAAAACGAGGAGCAGAACGAGGACGTCTCCGAGGTGGAGCGCCGGGGCGCTGCCCGCGGTCTGGCCGAGGTGCTGCTGGCGCGGCGGGACCTTCTGCCAGGTGCCATGAAAGTGATGGGAACTGGAGCGATTCGATCGTAACGTAGTACTGGCATGTACTGGCTCGTTGGTATTAGTATATACTTTCTTTTCCTTTTCGCCTGTGAGACCTGAGGTTGAAAGCAGGAAGCTGTAGCCATCTTGGCCAAAGGAGTTCGGGGGTGCTCTTCACTGACAAATGGCTGCCATGGAGAATCCTTTGCCCATGTTGCTTGGCCACACAGAGAAACCCGAACCCGAGAAGATTCAACCCGAGCCTTTCCTGAATCAGGTGCGCCTTTTTATGCCAGCGCTGCGGGTGATCCTGTCAACGTCAAGAGTCTTCTTGATGAGAAGGCAGATGTGAACTACCAGGATCATAATGCCCGGACAGCTTTGCACAGTGTTTGCGGGTGCAAATCGGCAGGTGCAAAGGAGACTGCTCGGCTTTTGCTGAGGCACAAGGCTAATGTGAATGTCATTGACAGTGCGGGCATGTCACCTATGGACATAGCGTTGAAGGTGCAGAACTTTCACATCCAACGGCTCCTGGAGGACGGAGGAGCTGAGATCCAAACATCTTTGGAGCAGAAAGGGCGGGAGAGCGCTTGGTTGCTGAAAGCTTCGGAGTTGAAGCTAAGGAAGCAGCTGGGCACTACCTTGAAAAGCACTGTGCACCTGGCAGATTGGCATGGAACACAAGTGGTGGTGAAATGTGTCAAGATGGAACGCAGGAGAATGCTCACACATGTGTCGAAGTCAGCAAGTTTTTGCCAATCACTGGGCATGGATGCGGAGCAGCCAGAGTTAAACTTTGATGCGGAGGAGGAAGCTGAGGATGAGGACGAGGACATCAAGCAAGCTTGCGAGGAAGAGCTCCTCCGCGAGATTGAGCTGGTTGCTTCCTTTCGCCATCCCGACTTGGTGCTTTTCCTGGGTGCTTGCTTGCAACCAGGAGAGCCTGTCATGTTTGTCACCCAGTACATGCCAAACGGTGACGTGGAAAGGTATATGGCTCACATGCGCGACAAGAAGCAAGTCGCCTACTATTGTCCTCCCTTGGCACAGACAGTTCGCTGGTGCTGTGCCATTGCCCGTGCTTTGGCCTTCTTGCATAAGTTCCCAGTCCTTCACCGGCACTTAAAACCTATGAACCTGCTTCTGACCCATACGCTTGATGTAAAGGTTTCTGACTTCGGAACTGGCAGGTTGGTAAGCAAGACATCAGCTGCTGCGAAACCTATGGGCAGAGCGCTGACCATGGGAACGGTGGGAACCTTTTCTTACACGGCTCCCGAGATGATGAGATCTCCGGACTATGACGAAAAGGTGGACATTTATGCTTTCGCACTCATCATGTACTTCTTGACCTCTGGCAAAACGCCTTTCTTCTACATTTCGCCGCAGGACCTCGTCGAGCTCTATGCGGCGGGGGAGGAGCCTCGCCCGGATGCAAGTGATTGTCACAGAGCCTTTCGAGGGCTTGTTTCGACATGCTGGGCCGCAAAGCCAGAAGACCGACCATCTGCCGAAGAAGTGCTGCGGACCCTGCTGGAGATCCACACAGGGGCCGCTTGCTGTTCCACGATGTGATGGACACGTTCCAGCAAGCATGCTGCGGCATGCTGCGGCTTGCTGAACATCTTGTATGTTCTAATTAATTTTTTCGCTGGCGAAGCCTGGCCGGCCAAGCAGTGCTGATTGCGTATTGCGCGGCACCCTCGTATTGCACGGTTCCACGATCCATGGACTGCAATTGCCAGACCTGAAAACAACTTTGAATCCTTTTTGCAGTTAGTCAACCTAAAAGGAGATTGATTGAGGTATTGATCGGAAGGGTTTCACGCGGAGATTTGCAGAGAGCTTTCGGGAGCTGGGTTCGTCCGTCCGTCCCTCCGTCCAGCTGCTCAAAGCACAGGCTGCCTGCACGAAGTGGTCTTGCCACGCATTCCATCAGGCACGGCATGCTTGGGCAACTACTTTGAGCAACCACAAGCAACAAAGCCAATCTTTTGCCCCCAAATACCACCTAGTGAACGCAACTGGGAAGTCGCCAGTTTAACAGTTGCACATCCCATCGGTTGTGCCAAGCGGTTTCCCATCGTTTTTTCAGTTCCATCCAGGTGGGACCTTGGAGTGCAAAGCGGGTGGACTTCAATTGGTCCAGGCCATTGCCAGCCTCGGCCCCCAGGCGGGTGTCCGGGCGAAGCAATTCTCCCCTGGAGTGAGTGAAGAATCCCCCGCCCATAACGGGGAGATGTCCAGGTGTCGACTGAGGGACAGAGGGTCAACTGTTTGAGGGGTCCTTGGACTGAGCAAACGGAAGGGCTTTTTGATTTCTGCTCGGAGGCCTTCCTGCCTCACCTGAAGCGCTGCTTGCCTTTTGTATTGTGTCCTGGCCAGGAAAATGCCTTGCTAGGCAATGTGGCAGTGTTCTAGCCTGTTGTGCAAGAAAGCCTGCCACAAAAAGCGGTGCCCCTTTCTGCTGAGTCTTCCAAAAGCCACGCACAGGAATGCCTTGCAGGAGGAGTCGGAAGTCGTCCACAAGCAGGCAGGGGCGGCAGGGACCCGGGCCCCCTGCTTCGGAATCAACGATTTGCGAGGTGTATGCTGCCATGAATCCACCTCAAGTGATTTCCCATGTCCCCAACGGTCGGGCTCTACGGCCGAGGCCGTGGCGGCGGTGAAGACGCTCATCGAGGAGTATGGAGCCACAGCTCCCCATTTGCTGCTTCCGCGCATGCAAGAGGCGAGGCCATCGCTCTTCAGGGTTGGAGGCCATCGCTCTTCGGTTGGAGGCAATTGCTAGTAGGTGTTCTTTAGCTTTCTAGAACGGAAGTTCCGAACCGTATCCAATTCTTCTTTTAAGAAAGAAGCACAATTTTGGTTTGAGTTCTCTGGGCTGAAGTGCATAGGCATCGGAATCGAGTGACAACTCAATGTATCAAAAACATCGATGGCTTTGAGACTGAAAGCTGGAGGCTCTCTTCTTCCAAGAAGAAGAACCACGCACTCGCGCGATGGATCTGTTTTTTGCCTTCTGCGAAAAAATCAGCGAAGGCATCAAGTTTGGACAGGACTGCCATGGTGTGCATTAGAAGAGGCTGCTTGAAGTTCCTTAAGTGTGCATTGATCAGGATCGCCAGGAATCAATCAATCCAAAAATATGTATATATATATAAATACACACACACACGCATCCCACTGATTCTGACCACTTTATTTTTGTTTTCTGAAAACAACTTAAGACATATTATATAAGGACATTGTTTTGTGATGCAGGTTTCACTGTCCTTTGAGGACTTCCTTAGCATGGATTGCCTGAGTCCTTTCCATCGGCATTCCCTTCTGGTCTCCATCTTCATCGCCCGCACCGACGACCACCACGACGTGCGCCGGATGGCCACCCTGCTGTGGAAGGAGAAGCTGCAGAGTGGACCCAAAGCAAAGGCCGCCACATTCATGCGGCTTCAGCGGATAGGTTTGGCTCTCAAAACTCTTTTCCAAACATCTCAAGCGTCGAAATCTTATGACGTGATGGGCAGGATTCTAGCACACTGTGTGGCAGGGGTTTTCTAGAGTGGGTTTACCACACTTTAGAACCACCAACGGAATCACTTCAAATTCAGGTCATTGAGCCTTGTCATCTCGCTCTCGCCAGGCGGAGGTGTTACCCCTGCTGCTTGCAGTGCTCAAGGCATTGCAGCAAGGGACCCCCACCCAAAAGAAAGCCGCAGAGCAGTGCCTGAAGGAGCTTGAGGTGCCGACAGGGAAACGTCATGGACCAATCCTCCACGTTTTGGACATGATCTGACATGATTATTTCTGAGGTGGAGTTGGTCAGCACTTCTGCTGAATCGCTTACAGTAATTCAGAACAAACCAGACATCACAGGCTTGGCTTGATCATTCAATCCAAACCCTGCGGTTCGTGTAGTCGTAATTCCCCATTTGCCTTGAATATCATCCCTAGTCCCTAGCATCACAGGTGATTCATATTATATATAGCTTAATTGTCTTTCCCAGCACCTGGAACACGCTATGACCCCGACGCCCCCACATCCACCGTGCCCTCCACTTCGGCTTCCAGGCAGGCGAAAAGTCGGGCTTCGAGGCGGTGGAGCCCCAGGTGGGAGCCGCTGGGGTGCTCTTTGCGCAGGATGCCAACGACATCGAGACGCTGGAGAGCGAGTGCAAGGCTGGGTCACCCCAGTGTCCGGCGTTCAGGCGAACAGAAAGGGTGATCCCCCCCCCCCGCAAAAAAATAGCATGCGACCGTCTGACGGGCGATGTGTTTTCTTTTCGGAGAGCAGTAGAAAGGTGTTGGTGTTGAGTGTTTTTGGTTTTGTGTTGTGCCAGGAGTTCCAGTGCTGATGGAGGTTTGCATAGCTCGTAGCCTGGCTCATGACAATCTTCGTATCCGTCCCCGTATTTACCCTCAATCTAGCAACTACATGGAAGAGGACATTTTTCCAACCTATGGTTTTGTGGTCCTGGGGGTTAGCTTTGTGGTCCTGTCGCCTTAGATGGACGTGACCCTGGAGGCTGCAGATGTAGCGCCTCGCCCAGCGCTGCGGCCGCAGCTGCTGCAGCAGCGCTGCAAGGCGGAGATGCCGAGCTTCGCGGCGCCGCTGCGCCGCGGGGCGGAAGGGAGGAGCAAGGGGTCCAAAATGGGGAGCTTTTCTGGTGCGTGGGAGGTTGATCTTTTTGTGGAAGTGCCGGAGCAAGGCACACAACCGAGGCTTGGGGTTAAACTCTTTCTGGACCCTCCAGCTGAGTAGTGTTTCTATTTTGGCTTCACGCAGCTGAGGCAAATACATTAGCTCGGTCCTGGTCTCTTGCTGCATGGACTCTTGGATTTGGTCGACGATCGCTGTCGAAACGGGAAGAACTCTCAGCGAGTTCTTTTGGATTCAGTTGGGATGAACACACCGTTCACGTTGGAAGCTTTGCGGTGTCCGCCTCGCGAAGTTCCAATGAACCGAACCTTTCATGTTTCGTGGGCTTCCTGGCCAGACCCTGGTGTCCAATGTACTTTGGAAGAATGACCCAATCATTTGGTGTATCCCTCAGATTGCTTCCAAGAAAGCTTTTCATGAGCTGCCCGCTTTTCAAGGAGTCACGTACCCGAGAGGGCGCGGAGGCAGCGATTGAGGAGGAGCTGAGACCCCTGGCAGACAAGCCGCTGCTGGAGCGAACAGGTGGGATCCGATGTAGCTGGTGTCGCTGTTGCGTTCATGCACAGGGTGCCTTGTTTGGGGTGCTTGCTTGGTGCACGGCTTCCTTGCCATTGCAATTGTACCTGGACGGCGAAAGAAGTTTCCTCACAGACTTTGGTGGTTCGAATCCACCTTGGCCGGCCTTGCTTTCTTTCTCTGGCTTGTTAACATATACTGTACTATTTCTTTTTACCATTTGCAAGTCGCACTATTCACTCCTCCCTATCTGCCTTTTTCTTCTCCTTCCTTGCAGGACAATTCTTGTCTTCTTGTTCCTATTCAATTTCTGTCTTATCGGCAATTAATTGCATTCTTTTTGGCAACCTCCAAATCCTTGCAGCTGGTGCCGCCCGCCAACCTCGCCAGGTAGCGCCATTGCAGCCTTCGAGCTCAAGGCCTTCTTGGAGAAAGTCTTTGATCCTCCGAGTGCAGAAGACTTCTGAAGGTCATAGGGGTGTCGCTGCGATAAGGCCATCGATATGCATCAGCAGTGGGGCAGATGAACGGAAAAAGAAACAACTCAAAAGCCTCGAGATGCAAACTCGAAGACTCGCCGTCGCAATCATTTTGTGAGCCTTTGTTGGTGGCTCACAGACCTCGCCGCCCACGTGATGGGCTAGAGCTAGATGAAATTAGACGGATTTCTCTTTGCCTCTGGTTTTCTGCCTGTAATTGTGGTGTTTGGGGCCCTGGGGCAGCCTAGTCCAAAAGACTTGCTGCAGCTTTCGAGCAGCTTGAGCTCACTTAGTTCCTTTTGTAGCCTTTGATTCTCTTCTCAAGATCGGTCAGTTTTGATGCATGTGTCTACCGCTTGTTGCGTCGTCCATCGCTTCGACTTCCCAACGTGGCCTTCGTTGAGGACGGGGTCGAGGACGAAAGCCTCGAGGAGCATCGCTCCGGGCGCTCGAGCGATTCGCTGATCTTCCTGGATGGCCTTCGCATGATGTACGGAGGCGGTCTACAGATCCAATCAATCGTTGTAACTAACTGTACAGAGAGACGACCAATCGACCAGGGGTGAACGATGTGAACAGGTTTGACTATCCGGTTTTGGGGTTTTAGAGATGGGGCAAACACTAGTTTGTGGTGACATTAGATCTCAATTTTTACGGGTCAGGTAAAGCAGGGTCTCCCACCAATCACAATTTTGTACCTGTCTGTGCTACCTATTTTGAAGCAGTCACTGTACAATGAAACCGAAACTTCTCGAGGCCAACTCTTCATCAAAGGAAGCGGGGGAAACTGGGAAAACTCGATGACTCCTGCAGTCTTCTGAGCCGGGCGACGTACTTGTAGGTGGACACATGCTCCTGAAGGATGCCCTTCTGGACCTGCGAAAAGGCCGCAGGTATGGTGTGGCGGCTTGGCGGTGTGCAGTGTTTGGTGTTTGGCGTCTGGGTGGTGCCAGAAGATAGAATCCCAAATTCACGAGATGATCCTCTTTCCTTTGGAGAAATTAGTTTGCCAGGTGAACACACTAGGGATGTCACCTGCGAGGTGGGCCGCAACGGTGCTGGCAAGACGACCTTGATGAGCACCATCGCTGCTGGTGGAGTCTCTGGAATGACTGCAGATGTGAAGACCCTCCACGTCAAGCCAGAGGCGTGCACTGAGAGTGTTTCAGTATGTTTCAGTCCCAAAGGCAGGAAGGCAGTAGTCGGTTGGAGGACCAGCCTTCAACGTTGTGGTGGGACACACATGTATGACACTTTTTGACATAGATTGGTGCTTGTGGTGGAACACGTTCTTCAATTTTTTGCCCCAGCCGGTAGACTTCCAGACGGAAATGACCAAACTCAGGTCCTGGTAGAAGCCAGCGACCTCAACGCGGTGCAGTTCTGCCGGAAGGAGTTGAAAAATCAAGAGGTGGAGGATGATGAGATGCAGGTGGGAGACGTGGAGCCAGACTCATATTCTTTTAGTTAGCGCTATTATATAGGTTGGAGGCCATCGCTATTAGGTTGGAGGCCATCGCTATCAGGTTGGAGGCCATCGATATTAGGTTGGAGGCCATCGCTTCAAGTTTCGAGTATTCGGCCAAAGGACAATGATCGTTTCAAGAAAGCCTAAAACTGTAGCATGAGCTTGGCATCTGAGAGATACACAAAAACAAAAACCACTTTCACCAGAGATTGGTAACCCTGCCCACTTTGCTGGGGAATGCTGCGCCTCCATTTCAGATGCTTTTTAGTTTGTGCTTCTCTTTTCATGAGAGAGGGTGCAGGCCAAAACTAAATAGCAACTCTAAATAAAAATGACGGGATCAAGCTAGCTATTGGCACATTTGGCTTCGCCTTTGTGGGCCCAGAAAAGCCCATGTCTCTTTGACCAAGCCATCTCACACCGCCGGGCTTCAGGCCGCACTGACAAAGGTGGGCTTCCCACAATCCATGCAATCCAAGTCAGCCCTCTGGCGGGAGCACAGGAGTGAAGAGAGGGACCGGAAGGGAAGTAGACTGGAGGAAATGCCACCAGTTTCACATGGTCCCATGGATTGTCCGGGAAAATGCACCCGAATCAAGCCGCGGGGGCGTGAGAAAAGCCACCCACATGGCACATGGCCTGTGAGGTAAATGAGCTCTCCGGCGGTTGGCGCATGAAGCTGCTCTTGGCCTCAGTCTCCTTGGCTGTTGATTGGTTTGTTGGAGAACGGGGGAGCTGCACAGTGGGGATACGAAGCTGGAACTTGACTCTACTACCCGGGAATAAAGAATCTTTGACTCTTTGACTCTTTGACTGCAATATCCAATAGAGCTGACAGACGTTGAACATTTGCTGAACCATGCAGAGGGAATGATGCGACGATGGGATCGGCATTCAAAAGTAGGAGGTATGTGTACTTTACCACAACAGGCTTTCAAGAGCTGTAGAGAAAAACGACCTTTGGCTGTTTTGGACACCCTTTGGAGCAGGATAAAATATATCAGAAGCAGTCAAGGATATGGCCTATCGAAAAGCTTGTGGTCGGAAAGGGCTTTGTGCTGTGGGTTCCCATTGTACCAAGGTCTAAACCGTATAGCTTTAGCTTCCCCACACGGACGGAAGCTTTAGGAACGGACATGGACATGGATGAGGTATGACAAAGCTGCTAGGGTCGGACCCCATGGTTCCCATCGCCGGACCCCTCAGGAGCCCCTAGTAGCGTCCGATCGCTCCTGGCAGTAAGACCAGCAGCCCCTAGTAGCGTTGTGCCATCCAGGCCATGATGCGGGATTGCGACATTTTGTTGCTGGATGAGCCGACCAATCACCTGGACCCTGGGGTGAACGGAGCATGCGACTGGTGCACGGGGTGAACGGATCGCAGAGAATGGGGGAGGGACCCGGGGCAGCTTAGCAATGCGAGTTGTTTTTTTTTGTTTCTTTTTTTTCATCTCTCTTTTTTGGGACACTTTGACTAACATGGGAGTGGTGAATGGCCGCCCTGCAGGACAAAGACTCCGTGGAATGGCTCTCTGAGTATCTGCGGTCGATGACGAAGACCACGTTGATGGTGATTTCGCACGACCCCAATTTTTTGAACAAGGTCTGCACAGACATCATCCAGCTGCTTGTCGTTCAATAGCCTTGGGTCCTCGTCGAAACCCGGCACGGAAAGGCACCGAACGGCCCTAGGTCCCACCGAACCTCCACTCAATCGAGGAAACGGATGTTCGGTTACGGAGGTACAGCGCCAAGCGCACCCTGGACTACTTCGAGGGCAACTTCGATGCCTTCCGGAAGGCCCGGAGGATCTCCTCCGACGAGGAGGCCGAGGCCATCCTGCTGGGGAGGCACAACTTCGACAACGATGTGGACCCCGAGGCGTTCTGGGCGTCAGTGAACTGAGGGCCTCCCCTGCCTGTCTAGGCCCTAGACCCATTCCTGGCTCCGGGTGGGTGAAGCACCTGGTGCGCAGAGTCTGCCAGGAAGTGGAGGAGCACAAGGCCAGCGGAGGCGTCTCCGCTGCGGTCTTCGACAAATCCTCGAAGATCTCCTTCCCGATCCCTGGCACCTTGAAGGGCCACTCTGCAGCCAAGCCGGTCATGGAGTTGAAGAGCCTTGGGCAGCACAGCACTTTTGAGCTGTCGCATGTTTTGGGAAGGAGGTCTGGGAAACTCAAGACTCTCAAAGTGATTGAAGTCGAAGGTGTACAAATATAATTTGTAAGATCCTGTTCTTTGTTGATTGGAGGATCCAGCTTTAGGGGTGTTGAAAAGGGAGCTATCCAATCGGCGGCAACTTGACATTGGGTGGTTGGGAGCTGATTTGAGGAATGTCTTCTTCTCCTACGACGATGAAGGGCCCATGATCCTCAAAGACATCAGCTGCAAGATTGGTCTCACCAGCCGGGTGGGCATCGTGGGTGCCAACGGCGCAGGTGGGGTCTGAGCCCAACTCAGAGCTTTGGGGTGGGATGAGGTGGCTGAACAAGACAGACTTGGAGGGTGTGATTAGATGAAGGTTCAAGGCTCAATTAAGGTTCACTTCACAATTTTGTCCAGTTCCAGGTTGCCCGAGCTGATAATGTCATTAGGTCGTTGGATTCTTCTGGTCCATTCGCTGCTCAACGTTGGGAAGTCGTTGCTTGGCCAGGCAAAAGTACGTTGCTCAATGTGCTTTGCGGAGAGCTGGTGCCTGTGCCTGGACCCAGTGGTGAAGCTCCTGGCGAGGTGGGACCCCGGACTCAGTCGACGTAACGATAGATGGATCAGAGCCCGGATGTCCTGGCCATGCTTGGCCTTGCTGTGTTTTGTTCCTTTTTTCTCAAAATGATAATCGACCCAAGCATTGGAGTTCAGTAAGAACTTGGCTCAAATGGTAAACCTCAGCCTTTTGAAGCCTTCGTGGTCTGAGCCATGTCATTCGTACGAGTCGTTTGGGTGCTGACGATGGCACCCCTGAGTGGTGCTCTTCGACAAGAGCACTTGCACCGGCCGGAGGAGATGGCGAAAGGGTGGGATCTCTCTTCGGTCAGGAAGCGATGGGGCTTGGACCGCCTGGACTTCTTTGGACGGGCACCCCTCTTGTCTGGACCTGGCGCAGTGGTTTCTTTGTGGTGGTTGCAGATTGGAATTGGGATGAGCCTCAAGAGAAGGAATCCGACAAGTTAAAGTCAAGATGGCCGGAAAAGGAGGAGGATCAATTTCCACAAACCAGCTGTCCAAAGAACTCCTTGGCTGGGCAAGTCCTGATGTGCAAACATGCGATGCATAGCGAATATCCAAGATATTGCTGTCTGACCAGCTTTCAATTGCAAAGCGGAAAAGGAAGTTGGGCGGTTTGTACGGTCCGTCAAGAACCACTACTTTTTCCGAACAGGAACACGGACACAGGGACAAGAAACATCAAGAAACAATATGCAGCTTCCAACTTGGAAGGATTTGTTATAGCACTGTAGTAATTATTGGATCATATAAGCTCCCGCAGAATATGTTTCTCAAAGACAGCTCCACAGCGCCAGGTCTACAAGCATCGAAACTTGCGCTTGGCCTACATCGCCCAGCAGCACATGTTCCACCTGGCAGAGTTTATGAATAGTACGCCTTATGTGTACATTCAGAAGCGCTACCAGAACGGATACGACGAGGCTGGGAGGAGACCGAGTGTGCTGCATGTTCCATGAAGGAAGTCGAGTGTGCTTCTGTTTTGTTTTCAGACAATGATGCCAAGGCTTAGATTTTCTGCATTGACGCTCTTCGGACGTATCTAGCAAGTCAGGCTTTATCACATTTCCCACAGATTCGACCATTAAAGATTCGACCATTGCAGTGCAGCCAAGAGATCATCCACAGCTGCCCTTCAAGCTGATGTCAAACCCTTTGGGACAGTCTGCGATGTCTCTTCGCGCCCGAAAAGAATCCGACAAGTTGATGTGCGTTGGAGGCCATTACAGTAGGTTTAATGCTCTTCTCTCGAACAAATCCGCTTTGCAACCTTTCGTCACGCCTGGAGGCGCTCCAGCGGCGGCTCATGGAGCCTCCCAACGAGGAGGTGGCCAAGCGCCGAAGCGACCTGGCGCGTGAGTACGGGAAGTATGGCTTCGAGGCGCGCCGTGACTTGTGTGTTAGAGAATATGTCCAATGTTTTGTGGTTCGAATTGCTTGGGCGGGTGGAAATCCTTGTAGTGGGAACATCGAAAGCAAGTTGGCAACATCGAAATGGCCACTTAGTATAAAGCTCGAAGTAGCCACAGGTTGGGCATTTGAGCGGCAGGTTGGAAGCATCCAAAGCCGCGTCGTGCGCGGGAACGAAGTGCTCTATGAAGTGCAATGGAAGGGCCGCTGGTCAAAGGGTTTGAACACATCGGGCGAGGGTCGGTAGACAAGTAGATGGACAAGTAGATGGACAAAGAGGGAAGAAAAAGACAGCTAAGTAGCATTCAGACAAGTTGACAAGTAGACTCGACAAGACTGTCATATTGTTGCTTTAGATGCAGAATGGAATAGATAGATTGCAGCTGATGGTAACAGATTCTTATATATATAGATACCTATGGTTAGGTTTGATTGATAATAGAAATAAGATGACATAATAGACAGTATAGAACGAAGTCGACCCTGATCAACAGTACAGGTAGTGGATAGGTGTTCAGGGATCCAAAGAGCAGCTGGCTTCGGAGAGCAATGAATGGAGTCTTCTCAGTCCATGTGAGCCAACGTCGGGGACATCCATCCAAAGACTGAGGAGTGAAGCCTGAGGTCTACAATCCTGACCTCTTGTAGTTTGGATGTCCTTTTTCGTTAGATACCAGTGGGTTTGACACGCGTTACATTGATTTTGTGTTCGGATAGTCAATCGAGCTGAGCAGGACTGCCTGGAGTCTTTGAGTAACCCGCTTTTGGGGTCTCCATGGTCCATGGTCTGTGTTTCCTGTCCGGGCTTGTCCAGCTTGCGTGGGCTCGGAACGGGCAAAAAGGCTGTGATGATCCGAAGCAAAACACCTTCGAGAACTTGTCCAAGTTGAAGAAGTTGGACCAGATTGGCTTGGCGAAGGCTTGTTGAGGAAGAAGCAGTCAAGGCCTTTGAGGTTAAGAAGCCTTGGGTCAAATGCATGGAGAACATAGGCAAACGCAGACACAAGGCCATAGTCACCATAATCCGATATGGAGTCATTGTGGCAAACTGCTGCGCAATGCAGTCCTTTCTTGCAAGGTACGGTGTAGGCAGTACCTAAGCCGACCGGTGTAGCACCTGTACCTGCAGCGATCAAACCGTCCGACGAGCCTTGCGAAGGCCTATGATGAGCGAATAGCAGCACAAACTGCGGGGATTGATCAACGGCCACTGACGCAGAAGGAGATCGTCAAGCATCTGGAGCAGTTTGGTCTCCTGTCCGCCAGTTTGACCAACCCTCGCCGGCGAAGGATAAAGTTCGGGGTGAGGATGTCACTTATGGGGGTTGGACCAAGAAATGACTTGATCATTTTGTTCAGGGGTAGAGATGACCAAACCTCAAGCCGAAGGCCGCTGCGGCCCTTCCAAAGCAGAGGCCCGAGGGGCGGATCTCATGAATCGTCCGTTGTCGGAAGGTTCCGCTGCCGCGAACCGTGTCGCGAGATTTTTCGAGGCTTAGATGAAGACATGATCTTGCACCGGGAGATCGGTGGCTTCTCTGCGGGTCAGAAATCCAAGCTCACCCTGGGTGCAGCGTTCTGGACGACACTTGGAAGCACCACTCTGGAAGGGCAGAAGGAGCAGAGGCAGCATACTAGTGAAGGTTAAGCGCAGAATACTAGTGCCCAATCCCAGAGACTGCCTGCAATACTAAGTTACTAGTAGCGCACATGAACGCCTTGCGTGTCTCACCGAAGTGACCTGGCCGAGTCGCCACCCAACGAAACGTGGCCCGCGGCACGTGGGTCGCCCAAGCGCGATGAGTCGAGTCGCGGCGCCGAGTGCGGCGCTGAGACAGGAAGCCCCACATCATCGCGCTGGATGAGCCGACGAATTACATCGACATGGAGACCTTGGACGCCTTGGTGCAGGGCTTGGCTCGATACAAAGGCGGCATCATCGTCGCTTTGTTGCGCAATCATGGGGCAAGTGGAGGAAGGGGGTTGGTGCGAAGAATGTGTGGAGGATCAAAGACTTGACCAAGATACAAAAGACTTGACTGCAACAGAAAGACAGATCTTGTCTTCTTGGAGGGTGTAGGAATGCCTATTTACTGTATATCATGTGGGAGGCCATTGCTACTAGGTTGGAGGCGCTGGTGCGGAAGGTCACATTTCTTTCCTGTTCCGACTTTTGATGGCTCTTGAAGGGTTCTAACGGGGTGAAGTGGTTCTGTCATTGAAGCTTCAAGAAGCCAACTTGTTGTCCTGCCCAAGTAGTGGACAAAAAGCGACATGCTTTGCCAGATCATCAGTGTTCATGTTTCTTTCGACGCCGTCTTAGCTTAACACATCTCCATGTGCAGTTCGGAGGAGCCGGTGAGCTGCGCCCAGTTCGAAGCGACTGAGGTCATCTCCCATGCGAGCGAATTCGTGAACCAAGTCTGCAATGAGATTTGGAAAGTTGAAGGGGGTGTGATTGCGGAGAGGACGAAGAAGGACAAGAAGTGAGAGAAGTTCTCATTTCGTCTTGAACATGTGGCCCCGTACTGCACCACGCAGTTTCGAGCGCTTGCACATAGATGCCCTAGTAGCAACTGGGCAGTTTGGAACACGTGTGACCCCATGAAAGTCACTCCAAAGCCTCTTGAATTGAAGAACTGTCAATGATATAATCATTTGGAATGGAACAGCTAAACAAGCCTTGATGTGCTGAGGGTTGACTGGATCGCCCTTGAGACAACTGTAAAGGACCTACCTACTAATTATGTACACTGTGGCTGAAGATAGGAAGGAAGATCGATGTGGCTGACACATGGATTTTGCTCAACCCAAGGACCATGTGTACATCATCTGAATCAAATGGATCATGTGCATCCACACTACATCACTCCATGTTCTTGCGGCCCACAAAGCCCCACGAGTCGTGTTCCTGGCTGCGTCAAAAGCAGTCTAAGCCGGCCGGGACATGATTTTGCAAGACCAAAATCGACGTGCTCGCTGCTGGCGCATGTGTGGATCCTGCATCGGTTCATAGTGTCTCAGCACACGGCTTGCATTCACCACAGCCTTGCAATCTGTTTGGTAGGCTCATAAATGGCCACAGACAAGAGCCCAAAACACGGATTGCTGACGATCAGATGATATCGTGGCTCTTGGTTCTGGGGATGCCTGTGAAAGGGAGCATTTCGGGGTGCCTCAAACTGGTAGGTTGACGGGAGATTCCACGTCGCGCCGTCCGAGCGCAGGACTTCAATCAGGGCAAAGCGCAGCAACGCTACAACGAGGTTTGTAGACATGAGGAGGTCCTTCAGGCGAGGGAAGGGACCCACGTCCACATGGTTGGAGTGTTTGGACCAACCCAATAAAGATAACAGACCTTTCCAGGAGACCAACATCTCCTGCTCAGAAAGTTTCTGGGGAAGGGCAACGAAGGGTTGATCTCATTTTGTTCGAGACACGACCTTGCAGGCCCGATACCAGGAAATGCGCAACTCAATACCAGTCGTAACTGGAAATGGACAAATGGACATGGAAAGAACACGAAGACGAAAAGTCTTGGACGATTTGTTTTTCAAGACGAGAGCTCCAAAAGAGAAGCGTCCAGGTGCTAGAGCAACCAGCACCGCTGGGCTATGAGCGCATGGTGGTTGGAATCTACCAGATGCCATCCCCCATGAAGGACAGTTCAATTCTTCTCTTAAAGACAAAGGGATTTTTCTGTACTGTACCATTCTTGAGCACAGCATTTCTGTTCTGTGTGATGTGACAGTCAAATTCGTCAGCTGGATTTCTTCGGAGGCCAGCCGGCTTCTCCTGGCCTCGGATCCAATCACAATCGCAGACGCAATCAATCACAGACACACGTATTGAAACCCTCTGGTCAAGGGTTTTGACATGCTTTCTGTCCGATTTGGTAGGACCGGGAGTTCCTTTGGAGGGAGTGGGCAGCTTTGCTTCCAACAGAGGCCAGTGGTCCTGTGGTTCAGAACACACATGGTCAAGTGGCCGCATTTCGGATCGAATCATAGCGGAGGAGTTTTTCAATGTCGCTGGATTCCAGCTTTCAGGGGTGGATCGAGCAGATTCTGTGCCCCAAAGCAAATACTCGACTGCGGGGTGCTGCTCAACAGGATGGTGGCCAGTTGTACGTCTCCGTGGCAATGACACCCAGCCCAGAGGTGGGGCATACAGTTTTGGATCATTGTCAGATGGGTGTGCTTGAGTCCAAAAGTAGGGAACCCGGTATATAGGAAGCCTTCGGCTATGCCAGGAAGAAGCGGCGATTCTGCCGCCCAATGACAAGTTTGTGGGACGCCCAGAGAAGTTTGGGCGTATCAGATGAGTTCTTGACGGCTTAGGCCTAGTAGCAAAGGGCATTTAGAAACTAGTAACAAGGCCTATTGGTAGCTAATTTGCCGTTCTCGTTGGTCCTAACAATTCACGTGCTTTTTTGCCCGGCTCGGCCCGGTGAGCCACGTCCTGTCGTTGGGACGACCCTTCCAGGTGCGTGGGCACCTGCATCTTGCTGCCACCTTAGCGCGGCAGGAGCCCGGCTCGGCCGAGGCGCGGAGGCGGACGGCGAGTAGGCGACGGGAGAGCTAGGACTCTTCAACCCATCAGCAAGATGATGCAAGATCCACCTTCCTGGCAAGAACGGGAGCAAAAGCAACCTCCCTAAAACCACCCAAACGAATACTTCCAACAAGAAGCAAATCGCTCCCGTGCCCGCCAGAACTCCTGAAGCATCTGCTGCTTTGTCAGCAAAGGGATTTTCCTTAATCGAGAGTCATGCACCCATGCAGCTGTCCAGCCAAATGTCGAGAGTGTGATTCAGGCGAGAAAAAACCCTTGGCACACCGAATCTGAGTTTCCCTAAACAGGTATATAGGAACCACATGACTAGTGCGTGAGCTATCCTGCTTAGTTAAGTGGGCGCCTATTTAACTAAGTAAGGAAGCATTGCCATGGGCTAAAAGAAGGAAGCCAACAAGCCGTGTGGGGTAACAACAGCCTGGGGGCCCGGTTTTTAGCCAAAGCCGGCTGCTGCCCATGCCAACCATCGGTAAAGACATGAGTCATAGGCGTCCGGTCTTCCTTTTTGACGGTCTATTTTGCTCTTATCCGAGTGAGTTCGAAACGGGCGAAGTGGGGCCAGCGGGGGGAATGAATGATCAGCTTTTGGCAGGTCAGCGCTGCCAGTGTCATCATGGGCGACGTTCGTGGCCTGGAGCTCACTCGGGTGCGACTCGAAGGAGAAACTAGCGACTTTGGTGTCCAGGCAGTATGCCCAAAGCGGTGCAGAACATGGTGGCTGGCAATGAGGGGTGCCCCAGGGGTCTTGGGTAGCATGATGCGACCTGTGTCCACCTCCTTTTCGGGGGCACCGTGCGACCAAGGCCTCAAGCTATCTCATCAACTTTCGGGATGCACACTCACGCTGAGCGACGCTTTCGGTGAAGCACGGCGCAGTGTTCGCCGATTTCCCGTGGGACCACACCTTTGGCCCCGATTTTCCAAGACTGGTACGAATTGGTGGACCAGCCTTTGCTTGTTTGCTTGTTCAAAGCTGTTTAATTTATAAGTACCCACCTCCCAGAAGGATATAGATGGAAGGGGATTTTAAAGGAAGATGATCAAACCAGGATCAAGTAAGTAGCAACTTTAAATCCCTGCCAAGATTTCTGAAGTGGGTAGTAGGAGGTCCCATTTTCTGGATCTACTGCGGTCCAGTTTTCGAGCCTTTTCAGCTCGGGCCAGCGCACAAAGTGCTGCTGGGCTGGCAAGGAAGGTCAAAAGCTGCGCAGCTCGTTCAGGCTGGGCTGGTAGAGGATTTTGTTCTGAGCCGACAGGGTATCTTGATTGAGAGTGAGGTTGACCGGGTCAGCTCGTCTTCTTGGTCATATTTGTGGCCAACTGTGCCAACTGTGCGAGTTGAGGCATGTTTTTGAGGCAGTATTAGGACGCTATGCTCGGTGGAGGCCATCGCAACTAGTAACAAGAAGCTGGGGCTCCTGGCCTTACTATTAGGAGCAAGGACGCTACTAGGGTTTCTGCTTGGCATTACTACTAGTAGCATTCTTACTACTTGTAACAAGAAGCTACGAACGTAACAAGTTGGGCACTCTTGAAGGTCTGGACACTTCTCTACTGTACGCTTTTTGGCTCGATGTATAGAAGGAGGATTCAGGGCATCGTACGTACAAATTGAACTACTTGCAAGTAATTCTAGCACCTGCTGTCACTCACTAGGAGCCCACAGCTTGGTTTTAAGGGGAGAACGACAAACTGTCAGAGCATCGACTATCTTTCACATTTGGAGCGGGTGGCAAACTGGCAGACACCCCAAACCAGAAATCACAAAAACACCAGAAACACCAGAAACAAGGCACGTCTGCGAAACCTTCGAGTTCCGGTACTATGGGGCGCCCGCGGCCTCGTTGCCTCACTTGACCACCAATAGCTGGATCTCAGCGTGACCGTTGCCAAACCAGCGGCTTGGTGGAGCGCCATGGGAACGGCCTTGGCAGCTCATTGTTGTGCCAGCGAAGAAGACGGGCTTGATGAGAGAGGTATAAAGATGAAGAAAGACGTCGCCTTTGTGACGATTCCCTTAGATGGGAAATCCATGGTGGAGAACCTCCAGGGGCATTGGTATCGCCAGGGGGACAACAAGCATGTGGGTGAGATCAATGGATCTCACCTCCTTTGGAATCCTCAATGGGGCTTGAGAGATGTGTTTTCCAAGCTCAGTGAAAGTGAGACTGGTCTTTTGGAGGTGAAGATGGAGGGCGAGATCCGGTACGCCACGGTCTCCGGACCCCCCTACTCCATCATGTGGGCCGATGGCGACATTTGGGTGAGAAGGTAGGAGAGGAACCTTGCCAATCTCAACCTGTTAGCCCAAGATTGAAGGCAATGAATCGGTATGAATGTCATCAGATTCTAAAGATGATCTCGGAGAGGAGTTATTCCACCGTATTCCGTATTCCCAAAGAATCTCGGCCTACTCAGCCAGCTATCTTACATGAAAGTGACCTCCGAAGCAGATTCCCAAAATCTTGGACTTAGCAGGCACCGTCGAAGAGAGCTCAGACGCTACGCTTCGTTCGTTCGGCTTTCCAAGACAGACCGAACAGATGGATCGGTTCGTGGGATTGGACTCGCTCCGACGCAAGATGACGATGCAAATGGACCCCTTTGATACGCAATCTTGGGATATCTTTGATGAATAAGGAGGTCGACTTCCTTTTTGAGGGGACAAACATGACAAAAATGACAAAAATAAGAACTTCTATAAATGACTGTGGCTGGAGTTGCGTCTAAGCCTCCGTGCCAGCAAGCGCAGTGCACCCAGTGGAGCCAGTACATGTAGCAGATTCCGAAGACGGCGTGTGCATTGACAGATTGGGGAACTTCATGGTCTAAATTTAGTAATGCTCAGCTTGCTTCTCGAGAAGTTCGATGCAACATGTGACACGCCTCATCTTTCAGAATTCAGCTTTGGCAAACGAGCAAAATGGTGTCGCAGGGGCGGTTTGGCCTTGAGAAGCATATCAGTTCAGAGGTTTTGGAAAATTGGCTCCTCAAAGGTGCACCGGAGGGTTAAAGTTCTTGGAAGATGGGTATGGGCCGGGTGTATCTTGAATGTATTGATGCTGCAGCGATTCAGTTGCTCTTGGGGGCCGACTCTGTCAATTACCATTGCCGTTGCTTTTCCTTGTTGGCGCCTGAGCGGTACTTGTTTCAGAAGCAGTTGTGTTTGCCCCTGGCAGAACCTGTAGCCCACTTGTTGAAGCCAAAAAAAACAGGGCGGAGTGAGGTTTGTGTTCATTCTTCGGCTGAGTGGCCAGTCGCTCGCAACCAGGTCGCTGCAATGGGTGGATGCACAGGTGGGGTTGGGAGGATGTCCTCACAATGCCTTACGTACGAGCGCTGCAGCGCTGCCTGTCCTGCCAGTCTCCAGTTTCCAGCTTGTTGAGAGCATGGTCTAGCTACGTTTGTTCTTGTTCTTTCCGCAAGTGAAAATGGATGCCTCCGTTTCAACACAGAGTACACGTACATCCTTTATGCAACTACAAGGCGGATTCGTAGTCCCACTCGTGTGCAGGCAAAACAGCTGATGCCCCAAAGCCTGGGAACAAGGTGGGACGGATGTCGCAAAAGAGAGCACTGGTCTGATGTGCAAGACTAGAAGTCTTCTGTTTCGAATGGTGATCACTCCGTAAACCCATCTCTGGCCCAAACCCGTTGAGAATTCGCCAAGGGATTCGCTCCCAGAGACGCCCCACAGCTCCTCCCATCCAGGGAACTTCCTCGGTCCCGAAGAAGGACATCAAGGAGGGTGGCATTGGTCACGCCCGACCGCCCAGAGAGAAAACACAGCCGGAGCGTCGCTTGGGGGAGAGCTTGGGGTATGAAGGGCAAAGCGTGCTTGGGTGCTTGATAGGTACAGGGCTCCTGGAGAAATGTAGAAGACACGTCCTGATAGAAGGATCTCCAGTCAAGCTCCAACATTGACATGTGGCACCATCTCACGAATGTGGAACATAGAGTGTAAGAGAGAGAGAGAGAGCACGCGTCGGGAGAACACAGCGTTAGTGGAAAGGGATGCGTCTACGCTTGTGCAGGAACAAGGTAGTGAAGTGCCTCACTTGATAATGATTGTAGTCATGCAGTCTCCATTGTAGTGGCACTGATTCTGCCAGTTCATGTCAGGCACAGTTCATCATCGAGAACACCGGCAAGATCACGGACCGCAAAGCATTACTTTGCAACACATGGGGCAGATTGGGAAGTGCGTGCAAAAGCTCGCCGATGCGCGCGTCGAGAGCAGACATTTTAGAGGTCGTTTTATGAGGTTTCTGCTGTTTTGGTGTTCTCTTTTCTGTGAGCATTTTTGCCGACCTTGAGCCCCAAAAACACTCCTCCAGACTGTACCCTCACCACTCCTCCATCCCCTTTCCGCGCCTGGGACCTTTGGCCACACAGGACTACTACCAACTGGACAAGAAGAAGCTCGGTGAGGGATCCTATGGATCGGTGTCCAAGGCGACGAACATCTCCACCAAGGCGGACCCTCCGGTGGCGTGGTCCGGTGGTTGGTGAAACGGAAGGCCCCGGTGGCAGCCGCCGTGAAAGCGGTAAGCACTGGGTGACATCGTGATGCCGTCCACTCTCGGGCCAGTTTCTTTGAGATGAACAGGTGAACAGAGATGGAAGTGTGCGGATTCTACCTGTTCTGCTCTTTTGGTCTTCGGTGGGATTTGCTAGGACTTCCTCAGTTTGCAGGGCATGCATCCATCGTAATGCATCATGATGCATGCATCCTTTTCTCTTGCTAAAATCGTGGTTGTTTGAGGCCATTCGCGCTGTGAAGACCATCTCCAAGTCTCAGATGAAGAACTTGGAGCGCTTCAAGCAGGAAATTGTGCAATGCTCAGCGCGCGAAGCGCTGGACCAGCGAGACCAGCCCGACACCACACACACACACACACGGTGAAAAGAGCAACACACAAGGATACACAAGGAATAGTGTCTTGATGTGTCTTGTATTTTTTGCTCCTTTTTTCGGTGCTTGCTTGTGTTTGCTCTTTCTAACATTTGTAGAAACCAAGATTCGGACACCTTAGTAGGATTTCTCCACACCTTTGGATTCACCAGCAGTTTGCGGGCAGGGTTGAGCTGTGATGTCGTGGGTCTTCATTCTTCATGAGGCCATTATGAAGATGATGGATCATCCCAACATCATCAAGCTCTTCGAATCTTTTGAAGACCACAGGAGATCAGTGGGAATGGATGCGCTTTCTCCGCATCGGCATGGCACATGGTCAAACGATCGCTTGAGTGTTTCTGGCCGTGTGAAACTGGAACAGGAACATCTATTTGGTGATGGAACTGTGCTCTGGCGGCGAGCTCTTCGATCGTATCATCGAGCCTGGAACCTGGGAATTGGGGTACTTTTGGCATTCTGCGCCCTTTGAGGCTTGGAGTTTTCTTTCCTCTCTCAATTGGTTGCTTTGGCTCGTGTCCATTTGATCATCCGGGCAGTTCCACTCGCGGCCGTAAGAACCCGGTTCCGCTCGTGCTGAGATCGGGTCACTTCTCCGAAGTGCAAGCGGCCATCTTGATGCAGCAGATCATCCGCAGGGGCCCCTGGAGGGGGAGGTTTTCCTTTTTGGGGGTGGAGGAGATCATCTAAGATCATCTATCCTTCGGAACCTCGCTAAGGGGCGGTTTTCCAAACGATTATGTCTCCCACCGGATCAACACAGTTGGTCCGGACTTCCTGCAGTGAAGAGTCATGGTTTTCTGACGGGAAGGGAAGGGCAGGGAAATGGATGTCTTCTCTGCGGTGGGCAGGGTCTTGGCCTCTTGCTTGCTTCAGGTGCCATCTACTACATGCACGAGAACCAGGTTTGCCATCGCGATCTGAAGCCTGAGAACTTCCTCTTCATGACCAAGGCAGTGGGAAATTGCAAGACTGCCGGGACCTCCCCTAACCAGTAGAGCTTGTCATCCATCCCATCCCCACTACGTGTGAACCACGCTCCTTTGCTGCTGTTGGTTGACCACCTGCACCCAGAGTTTCACCTGGCAACCTTTTTCTAGGTCTCAGGGTGCTCCAATGATCGGCAGGACCCCATCGAGAAGAATTTCTTGAAGATCATCGACTTCGGGCTGTCATGCAAGTTCATCCCTGGCAAGGCCTTTAACAAGCATCCAGCTGAATGTTGGCAGGACCTGATGTTAGGCAGTCCCTAAAGAGTCCCTAAAGATACTTAAAGCCTGTCGCTCCTTGTTGTGAATTTCCACTTGGATTTTGATGTCTCAGATCAATCCATCCGATCCATCCTGTTGGTGGATGCCTTGTGGCCCCTTCTAGCTTGGTCTTGCCCGCCAGCCCCTGGCCACCAAAGCGGGCACGCCCTACTACGTGGCGCCCCAGGCCCGGTATGTTTTGGAGGGTGCTTGTTGCCGCACCAGCGACGAAGCCAAGGGACATGCGGTTGGTGTCGGGTGTTCTCTTCACCGTTCTCTCCCGGGCTCTAAGTGGAAAGGAAGAACAGCAACGTCCTCGTGGACGTGACACGTCCGACAGAGTGGCCGCTGAGAAGTGGACTGTCTCCGCCACCGATTCCGTGGGCACCGTTTTTCCCGCAAGGAAGGCCGATCGGTCGGACGGATCTTTTCAAGGCATGGGCTTTCTCTGTGTGTTGAGCACGAGCGCATCAGGCGTGCCACATAGGACAGTAGGTTGAGACTCAGCTGAAGCTACTCGCTCAGCGAGTACAAGGTTCTTACCACCTGACTTGTGTGGTTTCATGATATTCTCCAGTCCACTTGCTGCTCTTCAATCATCTTCCTCGGTGGGGAAAAGAATGGACAAGTTCTCAGACCATCCGTGTTACTGTTCGGTCGCAGGTCCTCGCCGGGAACTACGACCAGCTGAGCGACCTTTGGTCCTGCGGAGTCATCATGTATGTGCCTCCGGAGTCGACTGGGGGGAAGCCACAAGACGAGGTCGAGATTGAGTTCCCCTACGGGAAAATGGGTACTAGTAGCTTTTTGTTACTAGTAGCGATGGCCTCCACCCTAAATATATAGCTGGTCGTCAAATTTTGAGGTTCACCTTTTGGAAGTGAAGATGTTCGGAGTCAATTAGCACGTGGCCAAGTACTTGGCCACTTTTTGGCATCGCCCGAAACCCAAAACTTGTCGATGGACCCTTGAAAGAAGTAGGTGCCTGCTTCGGCACAAAGCTCTCAGATGCTCATGTTTGGGAAGGCTAAACCAACGAAATCGGTCAGTGCGCCGCTCGGTCAGTGCTCCACCTTTTAAGGTGCTCCTCTGTGGCTACCCGCCCTTCTTTGGGGACACCGACTCCGAGGTCTTGGCGAAGGCCAGGAACGGCTCCCTCCCGGAGTAGAAAACAGCAACTGAGCAGCCACTGACTTCTTCACTTTGGCTTCTGTGTCTTCTCCACTTCGAGCTTCGCCCGTCACCGGTCCCTTGGCCCGGCGAGGTGCGCCTGGGGAACTTCAACTTCAATCCCTCGGACTGGAAGAACGTCTCGGAGGATGCCAAGACGCTGATCCGCCGGGGCACCGAAGGGAACCGAAGCACGCCGTCTTGGGGGCGAAGCGGAGAGACCGGCCAAAGCGGAGGCCGTTCCTTCATTTTTTGGTTGTGATATGTTGTGATGCATAATGCATGGCACAAGGGATCTTTAGGCATAGAGGCATATAGAGGACTGATTTCCAAGAGGTAGCAAAAGTGACAGTGTGAAGTCGAAAGCCCCTGAAGGTTTTAAGAGTCAACAAGATGAGTCTTTGTGGAATGGATCTCCCACAGCTCTTTCTTCCACCTCTTTCCAGAGCCCGTTTCGGAGGCCACTTGCTGAAGATGAATCCCAAAGACCGCTACACAGCCGAACAAGCCCTGAACCACGAGTGGATCAAGAACAAGGCACACCCACTGGGGAGACATAATATGCATCACACCTCGAATGAGGTCTCTCCTGCGTGGCCTGTCGTGAAGCTGTGAGCGAAATTGGGATATCATCATGCTGATGCGAAATGATGACATCCTTTCGGGGATGGTCAAACCATGTCAAACCATGCCCACTGTTTTGTTTCAGGCTTTGACCAAACACACAGCAACAAGGGCATTGCTACTAGTAACAAGGGCATTACTACTTACTACTAGTAGCTAGAAGCTACGCTACGTTCGTAGCAATGCCCTTGTTCCTTGTAGCATTCTTGTTACTAGTCCCGTCGCCTCGGGTGTGTTGGGATCAGCTCCACCGGACACGGTCTTCCGTTGCTCGCCTTGAGTTTTAGCCGCTCGCCTCGAGCGACGTCTGCCGCCACGGCGGCGAAGTGACGGGCCTTTTGCCTCAGACGCGCCATGGGCTGCTCTCCTGGCAAGATCGCACAGCACGACTTCTCCCCGGCCTCCAGTATGAGCACGGACTGATCCTTGGATCAACCTTCAAGTGCTAGTAGTGATGCTGGTATGCACTTCCTGCAGTTTGAGCAAGTGATGACACTATGATCACTATGGGCGGTTTGGTCGTTTTCTAGTCAATCACCGACTGTGTTGGATGGGAATGCACCCCCAAATTGAAGATCGGGGAGTTGGCAAACACCAAGTGATGATTCCAATGATCTTGGCTAGTCTGATGAAGCCTTGACACTTGGTGTCTTGGTCTTGGACGCAACCCTATTGTTTGCAAGTCTGCAGCTTGACAGTGCGTGACTCGAATGACCACTTATGCTGACTCGACAAACATTAATATGATGATACAAATCCGAAATGTTGTGATGTACAAAAAGGTGATTCTGCAGGCTCCTTTGCTTTGTCTTCATGTTGCTACTTACCCAAAGACACATCCGCACGCAATGCGGAGTCTTCCACCCGCATGCCATTGAGGTAGTTGGCACCCTGTGAATTCTGATGTGTCCACTGTGGTGCCCCCCAAGCGGCGCACCACCGGGGATGAGGTGCTCCAGGCGAAGTGGAGGGGTCGTTGGAAGTGGAGGGGTCGAGCGACGTGTTGTGCCGGACAATGGACACTGGTTGGAGAGTTCAACGATTGTTGTGGGAGCGGTTGTTCGTTGGGGTCGGTCGTTTCAAGACACCAAGGCTATTCTCAAGTTGGAGAGAGGCGCATCGAGTAGACCTTGTGAAAGCGGGATCATCCTCACAGCAGGAGCGGGAAGGGGCAAACACACGAATTCTTGCCATGATTTCGGGCTCCGGAATGTGGATCGTGGAACTTGAGAGATGTCCAATAGTCCAATCCCATCAGATTTTCGTTGTGATTGTTTGAATGCAATTGCATGCGTCGACAGCCTCAAGAAAGCTGGATTGCCAGGAGGCTGCCAAGGATGACCTGCACCCGATGACGGTAGCAGCATTTGGATGCACCAACCAGTGTGCCAGTTTGTGTTGCATCAACAACTCGCCGAAACGCGCGTGTGTGTGAGGGATGTATTGCTATATTCAGAGCAGTGCTAAGGCGGCTCTGCAGCTTTAACTTTTCAAAGAGGTGGCGGCTCTGGCCACACTGTGCACAGGCCTGTCCTCTGCACCTGATGCATATGATCATATATGATCTATCCTTTAGCTTAAGGCCCTTTGCAGGCCTCTACTCCAAGTCATCGTTGGCTGTTAGACAGGGGACAGCATAGATGAGGAAGATGTGTGAGTGATATGTAGAATTTCTGAAAGCTCACTTCTCTTGGCGTTCCTTCGCCTCAGAGCAGGCCGGAATGGGTAAGTTCGGAGCAGCAGCCCTCGATTTCAAGTCACAATGATAATTTTATAGAGAACTTTTATGCATGTAAATGGTTCTGCTCTTACGGCTATATATTCATAATTATATATATATATATATGTGCATGTAGTAATTTGCATTATTTTCATATTCCTTTAAGAACAACAGTTTAATCCATTTGTCATTTCAATTCTGTCCTTTAGGGCGAATCTCTTGACGTTGGCTGATCTCTGACCGGCACCTACCTTTCGAGATCCGCTGTGCCGTCAGTGTTCGCGGTCGGAGGTGGGAGGTTGAGGTGTTTGAGGTCATCCATCAGAGCACCGGCACCTTTTGAATTGCAGAACCAGGAGATGGAACTGCAGGTGCCATACGACAGGAAGGAGACTGCCCCAACTAGCGCCACCCCGCGAGGGCGGGTTGGGGGGGCTGAGCTTCGACCACGAAGAAAAGGTGCGTGTGCTGTGGAGTTTTGAGAGGACTTTGCTCATCATCGTCCCCCACAAAATGCCCGATATCAATTTTGAGGACCCCGTTTCGATCTAGGACCAGAGCAGTGAATTCATTTCCACGCTATTTTTATACTATTTTATTTCACTCAAACATGCTTTATTTATTGCTGTAAAATGATTGAATCTGCCTTGGGTGGCGGAATCTCGACTTAGCAACAACTGTTAGCTGTTTTCTTGCCGCTCCCAGCGCCAGGCACCCAAAGCCTCCCATGTGGCGTTGCAGTCGAACTTTGTGGACAACCTGCGCGGCTTCCGATCCCAGAACAAGCTCAAGAAGGCGCTGGTGGATGAAGGTGACTTGAGTGGTGGAAAGGTTGCTTCCCACCACCATGCAATGTGCTCTGAAATCCTCTCAATGACCGGCATACGGAGCTGTCAGTGTCCTCCGCAGAAAGATTCACTGCTTCACGTTGCCTATGGTTTCTATGGATGCCTATCGTTTTTAAACATAACTTTTCAATCAGGTCTGGCTTTCCTGCTTCTTCATTGCACTACTCTTGCGATTGATTTGTAGGCCACACACTGATGGTATCCAACCCTGCCAATTTTAGAGAGGTGTTTCGCGGTCTTTGGATGTGGCGAAAGCTGTTTGGTTTCGAAGGCAGCTCTGCACATCATTGCGGGCCAGCTCAATGAGGACCAGATCAAGGCTGGGCTGAGCCTTCCCCAAGGGAAGACGAGTGGGCTTCTTGGTTCCTTGTGAAGTTCTTCCAAAGAATGCAGTGCGATTTTGCATGCCAACTTTACTTTTGTGGCAGACTGAGCAGGCTCAAACCCATAGGCTACCATCTTCACGGCAGAGATCCAAACACGAGTTCAATAGACTCAAAACTTCTGCATGTCAGGCTTTACAGTTTTAGCCACTCATTCGACTCATTCGTCTTATTCGGCGCTCGTGCTGGTTGTGTCTTGCTTCGTTTGCCCCGTTGCTTTGTACCAACAGGCGCTCAGAGACACCTTCATGGGCCTGGACAAGAATGGCCCCTCGGAGTCATCTCCGCTCCCTCCCAGTCATCCGAAACGCCAAGGGAATGGCCTAGGGCGCTTCGCCAGTAGTAGTAATGCCCTTGTTACTAGTAGCGATGCCCTTGTTACTAGTGGTTTTTGAATGTGTTTGATGGGTTTGGGCTCTTCGTTTTTGTCCGATCAACAAACCGGCCGTGCTTTCCACTTCCATGTTCGACATGGAGAGTACGATGCATCAGGTTTGTGTGATCGGCTGGGGAAGTGACGAAAGATGGTGGGGAGGAAACAAGCAAAGAAACCAAAACATAGAAGACGGAGGTTACTGAACGCATTTGGAGATGGATATACCATGATATACCATAAATAATTGTTGAAGTGAGTGATTGGTTGGGTCGGATGTTCACGCTTTCCCGGCCGCTGCTGTGATCTCTCGAGATCTTGACCCGACATGGCATCGCCTTTGAGGTCCGGCGAAAAGGTCGCTTCGTAGAGTCTTGAACTGCGTTCACTCTGCATCAGTGGCACCGGAGACTCGACCCAGGTCATTTTGCTTGCTCGCTTTTGGCCCGTTGCGCTGCTGGCCGCTCGCACTCCGCTCTTGACCTCTTTTGCACGCCCCCCTGACCTTTGAGCGCTTCCTCCCTGTTTTCGTGGCCGGGTGATCCTTGCGGTTCACGTCGGCTAGGTCGGAGACAGAGAGAAGAAGCAGGTCGTTGAATTTGCACCGAGGCCCTTCCTATAGTTCTGGCCTCCTTTTTGCTAGTTTCACTACATCGAAAAGCCGACCTTCGCTTTGCCCCTTGTTTTTGACAGTTGCCCCACCTCGAGATGGCTGAGGAAGAGAGGGGACAAAGAAGTACAACCTTGCAGCTCGCTGGCTGCTGAGGCAGTCGGGAATCGTGAGGCAGCGGGGCGAAGATTTTTTGCCTCAGGGCTTGCAATACCAACGAGAAGAGACTGCCGTCGATCCCCAGACTGAGGAGTCCTCGAGGAGGTCATCATCCTCGTGCACGAGGACGCGCTGTCAGGTTTGAGGAAACTCCTCAAAGCTCTCGAGTCCATCAACGGCAAGACCGTGCTGGACAAGCGTGGCGATTAGAGAAACGCCTTCTACCTCGAGCTCCAAAGACGACCTGGAGAGCGCATCAACGAGTTCTGCACTCGGTTCCGATTGGCCGTAGCCGATTTGAAGATGGAAGGAGTCACCCTTCCGAGCTCGGAGCTGGGATGGTTCTTGAAGCAGAAGTTGGGCTTAGATGCAATCAGGTTGCAGTTGCTTGAGACGGCACTTCAAAGCCGCGAGAGCTACGAGGAGACGGAGATTGAAGTGTTGCGGCTCTTCCGGGATTTGCATGTTGCTGACCCCCTTGCTCGACGACACCAAGGTCATGAGCAATCCCATCATGGAAACCGCAGTCCTCTCATGAACAAGTTTTTGTCCTCACAGCACCATCAAATCAGAGGTCCTTCATCCAGGAGTTCGTATGCCGCCTCGACAGCTCCCTCGACGTCTTCGTTTGGGTCTGGCCGGGGTCACGCCACCTATACCGGTCCGACAGGTCCTTTCCTTCGAAGAAGCCACAGCCTCGACAGGAAGAACCGCCTGAAAAAGATGACCCTGAGGCTGAGGAGCACTACACCTTGGAGGAAGTCCTTCAAGCCGAGGCGGAAGTCTTGGCAACAGAGCTGGAGGAAGCAGTTGAAGAAGGGATCGGCGCTGAGCTGGTCCAAGATGTTGAGGACACAGTTGAAAGTGCAGCTGAAGCACTTCTCCTGCGATGGTGGGCACCACACTGGTTTGTATTTGGGTTTCTGAAGTTGAAGTTCCCTCCCTTGGCCTCTTATTGGGAAGAGATTTTTTGGAAAGCGTTGGAGCTCACATGTCCTTTGCCGACCACGCCATCGTTTTCGAGTTCTTGAAGTCCCAAGCGCTGGCGCTCAAGCAATTGGCTGCAGGCCACTACATGCTGCAGCTGGTGCCTTCTCGATGGGAAGGTGTGGGGACTCAGCAAAAGTGGAGGAAACTTGGTGTTGATGGTGTTTGTGAAGTTCAACTGTCGGTTCGCCAGCGGTTGAAAGTGAAGCTTGCAGCATCTAAAGCCGCCAAGAAATTTGAGCATGAACACTACCTCACCGAGTCAAGTGTTAGAGCCAGCCGTGTGGCGCATGGTCTTGCAGAACGTCACCCCTGCAGCTTGGTTCAAACTTCCAGGCCAATGTCCCCAGGTGCGAAAGCGCCTACTTCGACGACTTCACCTTCGACGACCTCCCCCTCGAGCTCGATTACCAGTGCTGCTGACGATGTTCGGAGGAATCTTCCGAGCAAAGGGCGAGACCCAGAGCCACGATCGCGATGGCGATCAAGGAGATCGAGCGGCTCTTCGCTGGAGTCGCCTGGTCGGAAGACTCGCTGCCCGGCTAAATTGGCACTTGTGGGGTGTCTTGCTTTGGCTTGCGCGGCGTCCATCAATGCGGTTTGTGCCTCTGCCGTACCCGTCCATCGGCGCGGCGCTATCAAGCAGTGGAAGTTGCAGGCCGAGAACATGGAGCTGGCCGGTGTTTTGCCCAAAGGGACGGTGATGAAGGCGACGCTTCACGGCAACTTCACCTCACAAGCTATGGCCGACTGCATTTGGCTTCGCAATCGCGTGGGACTACGTCTGGCCTTCCTGGACAATCCTGTGTTGACCGGTATGCTGGCAGCCAAGTCCGCCAAGGGCCTGACGGCTCGTGTGAAAAGTGCAGCGATCGAAGAAGCGAAGCAGCAGGCAGCAGAAGCTCGAGCAGCAGGCCCGTGCCTTGATCGGTCCTCGCGGTGGCCTTCCAACTCTTCGCGCCGATTTGGTCAAGTTGGCAGCGTTGCTCAACACTCCCGTGAACGAGAAGATGACCGTGCCCCAGATCAAAGCCGTCTTGAAGCCCACAGTCGAGTTGTTGAAAGCAAAACCAAGTCAGGCTTCATCATCGACGAGCCCGGTGGCACCATCAACACTGCCCAGACCGACTTCGGCGCCAACGATCATGAAGGCAAAGGCGAAACCGCCTCCCGCTGCCATCATACACCTTTGGCGGCGCCTATGTGTGCTGGCGGCCTTGCAAGTTCCGCTTCTGGTGGTCCAACCCTGCACGCCCCTCAGCGGTTGGAGCAGCAAATTCAACGAGCTCGTGCCTTGGACAAGCGTCCTGCTGACGTTGGAACTGAGGAGCTGCGCAGTCAAGCGACTGAGCAAGCTCCCTTTGAGCGCCCTGCGCAAGAGCCTTCGCATTTCAATGACACTCTTGTGGTCAGCAAAGAGGACATCCTGTCCATCTTGGAGAAAGGAGACGATGTTCATCCTCTGGTCAAGCTTTATTGCGAAGCTTGCGTTGACCGTGCCAATCCTCTTGATGCTCAAGTACATGATCATGGCGCCTGGGATGGACGTTGGGGACTGCCTTCACGCTCCGAATGGAAGGCTCGCGAGAGTCTTGGTCTGATGTGGCCATGCGGCCGTGATGACAATGAAGCCCTTGCTGTTCAAGCTGCTCGCAAGGAATACTACTACTGGAGGGCGATGACGCCTGAGCAGAAGATTGCCTACTGTGGTGCAGCCGAAACGGGCTGGAGTGTTTGGGTGACCAAGGATGCTGTTGAGGTCCTCGATGAGAACGCCTCCAAGAAGATCCGAGCAGAGCTCAAGAACAAGCGTGAGGACTGCAAGATTCTCACGCCCCGCTGGGTATTCACGGACAAGCGCGATGGCTTGCGCGCCAAAGAGAACAACCTGGGCATCAAACCGAGCGCAAGATTGGTTGTGCCTGGCTTCAAGGATGTTCTGTCCTTCAGCTTGCGAGAGGATGCACCTACTGCCTCCCGCTGGCCCAGCACATTGTGTTCACCTACACAGCCTCTCTCTTTGACAAGCATGGTTGGCGGCTGATGTCGTGCGACGTGAAGTCGGCCTTCTTGCAGGGAGACCCCTACATGGATGGAACGCGAGAGCTCTTCATTGAGAATACTCGTGGTCAACATGGTGAACCTCAGCTTCCTTTTGGCGCCAACTGCTTGGCGCGTGTGAAAAAGAGTGTGTTTGGTTTGAGCGATGCGCCACGGCAGCGGTACCTTCGACTTCACCGAGCCTTGACAGAGCTTGGATGGGAGCGCAACTTCCTCGATGCCGCATGCTGGATGCTTTGGGACACTGAGCGCAAGCAGCTGCTTGGCATTTGTTTGTCACATGTTGACGACCTGCTGGTCGGTGGAAGCAAAGTTGCTCGTGACAGCATCCTGTCCTTGGAGAAGGTGCTTGGTTTTGGCTCCGTCGAGCGCGACACCTTCAACTACTCCGCCAAGCGCATTGCACAAGACACCACAACTGGAGTCATCACTGTCTCCATGAAGGAGTACCATGAGAATGTGCGCCCTGCTGCCATCCCACGCACAGGCGTGCTGAGCCTGACAGTGCCGTGACGCCCGGCGAGCAGAAGCAACTCAGAGCCCTTCTCGGCTCACTTCAGTGGCTTGTGGCGCAAGTCAGAGTGGACCAAGGATTTGCACTGAGCACTCTACAGGGTGAACAGCCTTAGATGGACCTCCTTCTCAAGCAGATGAAGCTCACCTCTGCATTTGGCCTTACTTTCAGGCCGATGGCGCTGGAAGATGCTGGCGTGCTGGTGATTACGGACTCCTCCCTGGGGAATGTCACCAAGTCCGGATCTGTCCTTGGCTCCAATGCCGAAAGGTGTTCAGCCAGTCGTCCTACATGGTCATTCTGGGGGATGCCAAGGATGCAAGGTGAGGAAGGCAGCTTTTGCCTGTTTGCAGGAGCACTTCGTTTAAAGGTCTGCCCATGGACAACCACTACGTGGATAGCATCATGGATGCGATCCCACTATGTGTGGTGGTGGACGCGACGGACGTCTACGACAAGAGTTCTTCCGAGACCACGTTCGGGAATCAGAAATCCCTGGCCTTCGCTGCTGCCTGGATGAGGTCAGTCCCGAGGCGCCCCTTGACAAGTCTGAGGTGGACTGCCACCGAGAACATGCTGGTGGATGGGGGTACGAAGTTGATGGACATGAAGCACCTCCGCGACACGCCGAGCCGCGGCCGCTGCATGGTCAATCAAATTCCATACGGAGTTCATCAAGGGCAAGTCAAAGAAGACCAAGGTGAAAGATGCACCGTGCCCGACTGAGCTGCCTGGTGAACCTTTGAGTGAGAGCCACCCGATTTTTCCTTATTTGCCCCAGCTGTCGGAACGACCAGGCTGGCATTTTGAAGACAAGATGGCCATCCAAGTGGTCAAACAGGCCAAGTCCTTTCGTTCGCCTCTTCCGAGGATTGATGTAAAGTTGCTGCCATTCAGGAGCACATTTGGTCGATTTGATCACCCGGCCGGTGCCTCCGAGTGGCGACTCCTTGAGGAAGATGCTGAGTTGCATTGTCGAGCTTCACGAAAGCTCTAGGAACCACAGCAGCCATACTGATCACTCTCTACCGCCCTCAACCAACAAAAGACAAGGATTCGCTGTTGAAGTGAATGATTGGTTGGGTCGAATGTTCACGCTTTCCCGGCCGCTGCTGTGATCTCTCGAGATCTTGACCCGACATGGCATCGCCTTTGAGGTAGAGTCTTGAACTGCGTTCACTCTGCATCAATAATCGTATACCGTATACATATATACATATCTTAATGTATCCGCCACAAGGGTTCATTCGCGTACTAATGACCACTATCCGACTATTAAGGTGGAAGATCCTCAAGTAAGTTGATAAGAGGGAATGTGAGGGGGGTGGACTGAGCCAGGTGACGGACTGTTGACGCCGGCCGAGCTGAAGGAAGGATTGCAGAAGGCACGACTTTGAGCTGTTGAATCCAACATGAGCGGTGAGCGATATCCAACAAGAGGATTCCGGTCTTTGAACCCAGAATGACCTGGTCGCCTGTCATGAGAATGGTTGTCAGGCTGGACTGAAAGAGATTCCTCCAGACCTGCAGCAGATCATGGAGGCTGACCATGCTTCCCATGGCCAAGGGTCGCGGGGTGATCTGCCTTTTGTTCTGTTAAAGTTGTGGGAGCAGTCTTGCAGGGTGAAGGTCTCTGTAATTAGGCCCTTTCGAGGTTGGTGAGATGACCTATCGTTCTTTCGCGCGTCGTTTGCCAGGAGTAAGCACCTCAAGCATCTTCCACATGCATATTTTCAAAACATTTTCAAGACTTCCTAAGTTTGCCGAGTCACTATGCCACTCCGCCCCCCGGTGTTTCCTTCGGAACACGTTCCGATGCGGGAAAAAGGATGTGGATGCGGATGGCAGTGGCGTCATCGACTACACCGAGTTCTTGGCTGCCACCTTGGACAAGTGCCCTGGCCCAGATGAGTCTGGGGCTGGTTTGGTGTCACCAATAGTCTGGGGGAGGACGTGGGTTTGATCAGACGATGTTCTGGGTGTTCGAGCAATCCATCCATGCAACCGAAGGAACGCCCAGTGGTAGGGGATTTGGGTCTGTAGGATTTTGATCATACTGTTGGGGTTCCAGAAATTGATGACCTGTGATCGTGTTTGCATCTCCGTTCAAGAAGTGAGATGCCACCGCTGCTAAAAACATCGTCAGGAGTCTTTTTTGATTCAGCCAGACAGCTGGGAGCGCCGGGCTTTGGAGTTAAAACCAACTTCTGTCCGCCTCCCGCTCCCTAGCTGCATGTTTCCAGGCGCCAATACATCCAGGAGGCACGGGCTGTCAGCCAGCGTCAATGATGTGCCATGCGGCGAACAAAAGGCTTCAAGACCTCACGTGTACAGTCCAAGGCCCTAGGCAGTGCGATGACTGCACATATTTTTATCCGAACTCCTTGTCTCACATTACGTCATGCTGCTTGTAAGGTCGACATTGCAATTGATACTCCTGTCACCTCTTGCTTGAACTGCAAGCATTCATTTTACCCCCAGTCAACAGTGCTCGCAGTTTGATTCCATGTCCTTCGCTCTGTTGGTCAGGATGTTTGCTGGTCTGCTTTCAGAGTCTTCGACAGGACACTTGACCCTGTTCCAGACAATCAACCTTGACATTGTTTGGGAACCACCAGCTTCACGCGATCATTGCACCCATGGAAGCCAGTGACACCGTTCACCTCCGCACGGACGCTCCAGGAACGGTGACGGCAAGATCTCTCAGGATGAGTTGAAGCAAGTGCTCAACGATGGCCAGGTCGGCTTCGTCGGCTGGAAGCGGTGATTCAGAACTCGCATCTCTCCGGCTGGACCCGTCCAGGTGGAAAGCACCCTTGGACATGAAATGATCGTGGAGCTTCTGAAGGACGTGGATGCCAACGGTGATGGTGTCATCGACTTCCAGGAGCGGCTGCGAGTCTTTGGAGTCTCAAGCGCGGTCCGGGGTCCGGAGAGAGGTCCCAAAGAGTGTCCATCGCTGCATTTGTTCATGATGGATTTGAAGCTGGGCAAAGAAAGAATTGAAGCTGTCTAGAATCTAGAAAGTATGCTACCAGGAAGCTGTGACCTGACAGCTTTGAGGATCTATCAGGTCGAACATTTCCACATCACGAGGTCACGTCTGCCATTTCTGGGGAGGGAGCACGCTCAAAGCTGGCGCCAAAGCTTTGGATCCGTTCGCGTTGGTCTGTATCCGTTCGATGAACCCGCGGTTGGACCGGGAAAAGAAAAGAAAAGGAAGTAAACCAAGCAAAGAACCTACTAGCTTCTTGTTACTAGTAGTAATGGCCTCCAGCCTAATAGTGATGGCCTCCAACCTACTAGCTTCTAGCTACTATTTGTTACTAGTAGCGATGGCATCCACCTAATAGCGATGGCCTCCACCTAGTAGCCTTTCTTCTGGGAGATTCCGGGAAATCTGGTCTCCTCGCCTCGATGTATCAATCGATACATCTGGTATTGCGAGCCGTCTCAGGAGTTCCTGGTAATGATGCGGGGGGGAAAGGCGCCTGAGCCCAACAAAGTCTGAGGCTGGGATTGGGATGAAGTCGGTTGCTGGAGAAATCGGATATGCGACATTAAAGGTCTTATAGCCTTGCAAGATACGGCAAAAAAGAGCCGCACTTGCATGGATGCACACTTCTATCACAAACACACACACATATATATATATATCTATAGTTACACATATATATATATTATCTATAGCTATATATATAGATATCCAATGCAATATAAATATATATATATATATACACAGTATATCCAATGCAGAAAAGGAGCGCAGAAAAAAGCACATAGATATCCAATGGTCTACCAGCGAGCTCTTCGTTCTTTGAGAGTTCGCCTGCGACAGGTGGGAGATGAGGTCTCCGAGATGGCGAATGAAGAGTGATTTGAGGTGTTTGACAGGGGCCCCTAAGTTGGCCAGAGAAGACCACTTTTTCATGTGTGTATTTCTTTTTTTTACACCTGTCCCTTTGGGGGTTTTGGTTTGTGGCCTTGGGTCCCATAATCTTCACCGTCTCACAGCCAGTGACAATTCACGACCTGGCAGCTTGCGGTAGCGTTGCATGTGGAAGAGACTTCAGATGCCATCTCGCTCCTCTCCTTCTCGTCATCGAAATGGGGACGGACATCACTGAAGAGACTGAAATGAATACTTCTGATTGTAGGCCGTTTTCCAGATCTACACAGAGCACACATGAGATCGCGTGACGATCTCTCTCCGGTCTCTCCGATCCCTCCGCCCTCCACTCGGTTCGACAGAACCGCGAGCTGACAGGCCTGGTCCATCCGCGGCCAGGGATGCATCGAACTTAGGCATTTCGTCGTTTTACCGCCAGAGGCCGACGCAGAGAGCCAACGCACCAGAGCCAACGGACTCAACGCATCCGATTCACTGAGATCCCAACTGCTCATAGAGCTTCAGGTCATTTGTGATATTTATGGGACTTGACTACACTTAAGTTGGACTCTTGACATGGCTGCAAGTTGTTGGCACTTGTGTCCGTTCAGCATATGTGACACGGAACGACATTCACCATGGAGGATCACATACGAAAACCTGGACATCAGAAGTCTGGGACATAAAAGAAAGAGGTGTGCTTTCAAGTGCTTTGGGAATCACTCTTTGAGTGTCGGTAGTTTTGTAAAGTGACTTCCCTGACATGTACCTCCCAGCTGGCTTGACATGTCATGCCACTCGATTGCAATGGCTGTTGGACATGGCGCAAACTGCGTTGGTCGGTGTTCCATGCCGCTCTGGCTAATATTTTATCCACCCACAGCAGCGTGGGCGACAGCGGTTGGAGGGGTGGCACATGGATCTCGTCTCTGCACTTGAGGATTCCGTTTTGGGGACCAAAGAAGTTTTCAAAGAAGACATGTGAATGTGAATCATTGAAATGACAGGTGCATGCTTTAGAAACAGAACATGATGCAAGACTTCCGCTGACGGATTTCCAGTAGTCGGACTTCCAACCTGTCCCGCGAGCCCTTGTCGACCGAAGGTCATGTGACATCATGGCCCATCTGGTCGAGGGGGGCTTTTGGAGCTTTTGTCCGAAGAGACTGAAGTTCCTGGGGACAGTTTTTGCGTGAAAGGGCAGCCGAATGGAACAGATCGGAAGCAAGAGCTTCCAAAACCTCCCTACAATTTACAACTGATTCCTTTTGGGGGGTGACCCACCTTTGCCAAACACATTTTTTTTTCCAAAGATTTAGAGGTTCCTAAGGCCTTCTCCGGGCCCATTCTCTGCATTTTGCAGCGTGCACTCTTCACGCATTGCACCAGACAGCTCCGATCGCGGGCTATCGCCTCCGCCACCAGCAGTCTTTAGATGCACATTTAGAAGCTCCTCAGCTATGGAGCCGGACTTGACATTTTTGTAGTCAGTCTTCCGACCGGCTTGCAACATGATTCATTGTTTTGGGATGTTTTGGGGATTTTGGGCTTGTTTGATAGCTGAGTTTGGTTTGGCTTGAACCACGAACAGAACATACCCAGCAGGATCCTACTGTAAAGAGTATCACTGGCAGTCGGAGCCCTGTGCAGCTGTGGGATATCGGTATTGGAATCTAGATATTTGCACACAGGACTCGACGGCCGTTTTGTTCTTTATTTTTTGCCAGAGGGGTAGATGAGAACAACACTCACACCAACCTCCCCCTTTAGTTCGTTTGCTGGTGCTGGATGGCATGCCAGCCCTGAGTGTGTCCACGTTCAGAAGCAGATTCCTCGAGCTTGTTGTGCGCAGAGAGGAAAAGACGAACATTCAACGTTTTTTTCAGCATGTCAGCAGAAACTGCTGGGATATGTCCTGCTAGCAGATCAGACACTGCGAAGGGGCAATAGGTTCTTTCTGTGTAAGAGCTACAGCAGACGGGAAGAGCTCAGGAACAGGTTCTGAGGCTATCCGTCGAGGAGACAGAGCTTTTCAATTTCAAGCCTCCAACATAACGTAGCAAATTGTAGCAAGGATGCTCCCAGTTGTGAGTGTCCTCTTCACTCTCAGTCTTGTTCAAGGCGCGCAGGGAAACGAAGAGAGATGCCTTGGACTGCTTTTGATGCTTTGATTGGCTGTTTTCATGCTATGGTCCTTTTTGCTGAAAGTAGAGGTAAGAAACTGTCGAGCGCACTGAAAGAACCTGTTGCATGGGCCCTTCATTTCTTGTTTGAAGGCGCCAAAGTCCACACAGTTGAGCAGTTGGACGTGGATCTCTCGCTGGTGCCGATTGGTGCGACTGTTGCCTTCCACAATCCCTACTGGAAGCGCTACATCAAGTTGGCGAGTGCCACCGTCGCGGGTGCCAGCAGCACCAACACGAACGCTAGCCCCCTACCATCAGGGTGGACTCACGAACGTTTCTTGGTGGTGGATGCTGGGAATGGACTGGTGGCACTTCACAATGCAATCCACAACGGTTTTCTGAAGGTCACTTCAAATGGGCTTTGCCAAGGTTACGGTGCTTCAGTGTCAGACCTGGGTCCGGAATGGCTCAATGAACGCTTCAAGGTGGTGGATGCCGGGCCGGGGCGGATTGCTTTGTGGAGCCCCATGTGGGGTCACTCGTCTGAGTATCATGGCAGTCTTTTTGGGAATGCGGATCATGGTGGTTTAGTCACGAAAGCTAGCATCAGCTAGCTGGAGTTGCTCTTGCTTTAGCAAGTCAAGGGCTCGCAGCCTCGAGAATCATGAATCACGTGAAAACTTCACGTGTAGGGGGGCCCCCCCCCCCGCGGGTTCAACTCCCCCCTGGGACGCTTCCGGTACGTGCTATAGTGCTATGTTTAGGTGGCAGGTGAAGTAGGCCACTGTTTGAGTTTGGAAGGGGGGGCATGAAACATGAAATTTACGCGAGGGTTCAAGGCTTCAATGATGAGCAACACGGGAAGTCAGAAACCAGGCGTATCAGATACACGTGCCTTTGAGCTTCCTTCGGCATCTCAGTGCATATGGCTGACACTTCACTCGACAAAGATGCTCAAACAAACATACATAAGCCAGGTGTATCTGATACGCCTGGTTTGTGACTTCCCGTGATGCTCATGATGCTGCGTTGCTTTTCTTCAGTCCCTCATTACATATACATGACGATCCAACAGCAGATTCAACAAGCTCACATGTTCATGACATCGACATCGATAGAAGAAACCAAGCAAATCATGCAAGCAGCTTTGTTTTGCCTCTGGGACACCTCTTGGGCACCTCTTATGGCATCCACACTGGTTCAACTCCTCCGTGGAGGTTTTGGGATACAGCGCAACAGATTCAACAAGCTCACAGGTTCGTGAACACATCGGATGCATCGAACAGTGTGGCAAAGTCCAGCCACGCTTCCTTAATTATCGGGGACTTCAATTCTAAGGTTGGCTGTGTCATTGCTGTTTGTGTGTCTTACATGTTCACAACCTCATGAGCATTTGCCTCACTCCGCTTGATGTCCCACCAGTCCGGATGCACCCCTGCTAGCTTTCGTCACCTACCCTCGGCCTCAAGTTTTTCCCCAGATAGCGAAGCTATGGGGTTCTTATTTCAAATAACAATGAGTTGCCCGTGCGCGCTTTCGAGACAAGTTGCTGGCGCTGGGTGCCGGTGCTGGTGCTGTGAGCTGGCTGTGCACGTGGTGGAGACAGGTTGCTGGTGCTGGTGCTGGGTGCCGGGTGCCGGGGCTGGTGCTGTCAGCTGGCTGTGCACGTGGTGGAGACAGGTTGCTGTCGCTGTTGCCGGGTGCTGGTGCTGGGTGCCGGGTGCCGGTGCCGGTGCTGGTGCTGTGAGCTGGCTGTGCACTGGTGGAGACAGGTTGCTGGTGCTGGTGGTATAGATTGCATATGTGAGGGGGTCTATTTTCGGATCTTTTTCCAGATAGCGACAATGAGCTGCCTGTGCGCGCTTTTGAGACAGGTTGCCGGTGCTGGTGCTGGTGCTGTGAGCTGGTTGTGCATGTGGTGGAGACAGGGTGCCTGGGTGCCGGGTGCCGGTGCTGGTGCTGGATACAGGGCATTTGTTTCCCAAGCTGGGTGCTTGTGGTCGGGTTCCCGGTTGGCTTGTCTCCCACTTCCTTTCATTTGTTTCCCACTTCTTTAATTTGTCTCCCACTTCTTTTCATTTGTGTTCCACGCTGGGTCCCACCACAAGCAGCCTGGTATGAAAGGAAGTGGGAGACAAGCCGCCCAGCCTGGCTGCGTGCTTGTAGTGGCTTGTCTCCCACTTCCTTTCATTTGTTTCCCACTTCTTTTCATTTGTCTCCCAGTTCTTTTCATTGTCTCCCAGGCTGGGTGCTTGTGGTCGGGCCTGGCTTGTCTCCCACTTCCTTTCATTTGTCTCCCACTTCTTTTCATGTGTCTTCCACTTCTTGCTGGGTGCTTGTGGTCGGGTTCCCGGCCCGCTTGTCTCCCACTTCCTTTCATTTGTCTCCCAGGCTCGGTGCTATTTCTCCCCCAGGTCTGTCACTGCTGGTGTCCGCCCTTTTCCGCTGGCCATGCAGCATTTCTATTCATGTGTCTCCCAGGTCTGTCACTGGTGGTGTCCGCCCTTTTCCGTTGGCCATGAAGCACTTCTGTTCATTTGTTTCCCAAGTCCGTTACTGCTGGTGTCCGCCCTTTTCCGTTGGCCACGCAACAGTTCTATTCATTTGTTTCCGTCCGCCCTTTTCCATTCATTTGTCTTTCAGGTCTGTCACTGCTGGTGTCCGCCCTTCTGGTGTCCGCCCTTCTGGTGTCCGCTCTGTCAGTCCGCCCTTTTCCGCAGGCCATGTAGCATTTCTATTCATTTGTCTCCCAGGTCTGCCACTGCTGGTGTCCGCCATGTAGCATTTCCATTCATTAGTCTCCCAGGTCTGTCACGGTTGGTGTCCAACCTTTTCCGCTGGCGATGCAACATTTCTATTCATTGGTTTTCCAGGTTTGTCGCTGCTGGCGTCCGCCCTTTTCCGCTGGCCACGCAGCATTTCTATTCATTTGTTTCCCGGGTCTGTCACTGGTGCTGCCGCCCTCTTCCGCTGGCCATGTAGCATTTCAATTCATTTGTCTCCCATGTGATTTCTTTCTTTTTGTCTTTTAGGTTTGGTGCCTGCGCTGCTGTTTTCTGCCCGCTGGATCAGGTTCACTTGTGAAAGGTTCTTGCTCCTTTGAAAGGGGTGCGTGACTGTCTCCGGGTTGCATTCCTGCCGCATTGTGTAACTCGCTTGGTTTTCCTTTTCGGGCAAGCGGTGGATGAATGACCGGATTGGATTTCGGCGGCGTGGCAGCGGAGGGCATACGTCAGGCGCCAAAAATGTATTTCATGTCACATCCTTCGCTCCGCATGCTTTTATTTCTGGTCCTCACGTGGTCAGATTGAGCAGCGTGACCAGCATCATGTTCGCACTTGAAGAATAATTCCCCAAAAGTTTTACTGTTAGGGCTTCTCAATTCTTAAGAGGACATGAAACTTTTGCTTTGGGTTCAACTTGCAAATGACCCGCTCGTGGCCGCCTCTGCCTTGCAATCCTTTGTTTCCCAGCCTGGACGTCGCAAGCTCTAGTTCCGATTTTGAAAAACACAAACTGTTTGGGGTCTACGGTGGTGCAATTCCCCAGATAGCGACAGCTATGGGGTTCTTATTAATTAATTTGACAATGAGCTGGCTGCGCGCGCTTTCGAGCGCCGGTGCCGGGTGCTGGTGCTGGCTGTGGTGCTGGTGCTGGGTGCTGTGAGCTGGCTGTGCGCGGTTGTGGTGCTGGTGCTGCGTGCTTTGAGCATGGTGCCGGTGCTGGGTGCTGGCAGTGCATGTGGTAGAGACAGCGGGCGCTGGGCGCTGGCTCTGGGCGCCGTGAGCTGGCGTGCCGGTGCTGGGTGCTGGCGCCCGCTTCTGACAGTGAAGTGATAACAGCCGCCGCTTCTGACAGTGAAGGGTAACAAACCGCCCCTTGCAGCAGTGAAGGGCGACCAAGCGCCGCTTCTGACAATGAAGCGCCAGCAGTCATGGGCCGCGTGAACTTATGCGCGCAACATCATACGGTGTTGTCGCTTGAGCGTTCTTTGTCTATTAGCGCTGTGGGGTATTTACACTCTTCAGGTTCTGTTTTGGCCGACAGCTGTGTCAAGGGCTGTACTGTTTGCGCGCATACTTTTGTCCGTATAATGTTCTATGCGCAAAGTCAGGCTCTCAAACGACCATTGTTTCAGCATGTTTCAGCATGCTACACACACAATAGTCGTGCTGGATACTGCTTGGCCTTGGGCAAGTGAAGCCTACGGGCTTTGCCGTTTGTGCGCATACTTTTGCGCGCGTAAACTTATACGCGCGAGATCATACGGCCTTGTCGTTCCGCAGATCGTTGCTTCAAGCGTGCTACAAAGTCAATAGTGGCGCTGGATAGTGCTTGGCCTTGGGCCAATGGCACTTACGGGCTTTGCTGTTTGCGCGCATACTTTTGTGCGTTTAAACTTATACGCGCAAGATCATACGTTGTTATTCCTCAAGTAGGGACAGCTATGGAGTTCTTGCTGCAAATAAGAATGAGCTGGCTGCGCGCGCTTTCGAAAGGGTGTCGGTGCTGGTGCTGGTGTCGTGGTCCTGGGTGCTGGTGCTGTGAGCTGGCTGAGCGCGCGTTTAAGACGGGCGGCGGCGCTGGTCGGGCGCTGGCGCCGCTGCCGGTGTTGTCAGCTGGCAAAGCGCACCGGTGCTGGTGTCAGCTGATTGTGCGCGCTGTGGAGGTGCCGTAAGCTGGCTGTGCAGGCTGCGTATATTCTTGTTCCAGTCGCATGTCAACAGGTCGTGGGATTCTGCCTAGCTATCTGGGTCTATGCTGGTGTAATTTTCTCTGATTAAGCCCTCAAAACATTAGACGGCTTATGTTGTTTGCATATATGTAAAGGAAAGTACGTGAAGATGCACGACACGCAGATGAAGGCAGATGCAACCGCGATCGGGGAATGGGAGGAATTCACTCCAGTAATTGTGAACGCAGGCAATCCATTGCAGCCTCTTATTGGCCACACGATAGCCCTGCACAATGCTCACCACAATCGCTTCATCAAAATGAATTCTGGTGGTGTGACAAGGAGTGATGCAAAAGACAAAGACCAGTTGCCAGCCGCTTGGGATGAAGAGCGCTTCACAGTGGTTGATGCTGGGAACAATCGAATTGCTCTTTACAATCGCAAGCGCAACCGTTTTGTGAAGATTCCCAATGGAGGTCCTGTTGCTTCCAGCCCCACGATCGATGCAAATTCGCCACCCGTCTTCCCAAGCGGTTGGGGAGCAGAAGCATTGTCTGCGGAAGATGTGGGAGATGGACAGATTGCCTTGAAAGGCACTTACTTCGGTCGCTACATGCGCATGCATTACACCGGAGTGGATTCAGAGGCAACGACACCAGCAACTTGGGAACGCTATACAGTTGTGAGGACCCAACATCCACTGATCTCAGTGTTGCTCGGACGCTCCGTTGCTCTTCACAATGCGCACCACAACCGCTTGCTGAAGATGACTGGATCGACGATCGACCGCAGTCCCACGGTGAATGTGAACTCAATCCCGAGCTACTACGCATCCGAGAGATTTTCTCTGGTGGACGCTGGTGACGGCAAGATTGGTCTCCATACCCCTTACTACAACAAATTCATGGCGGTGCAGAGCAACATGGCCATGTCCTGCAGCGCAGAGAAAGATGCAAATCTGCCGTTACGTGATGAGTCCTTGTCGTTTACCGCGGTGGATTGTGGTCAGGGTGCCATTTGTCTTCGGGTGGATTTCCTGAACCGCTTCGTGAGCATGCGGAACAGTGACGTGTATGCGACTGGCCAAAGCACTGCAGCCTGGGAGCGCTTCACAGTCGTAGAGCTTCTTGTCTTCAAGTTCACGGCCAGCAAATTCTTAGTGCTGGTTTTGATGTGTGCCCATTTTTTGGTAAGACTCTGAATCGATTCCAACATTCAGCAATGCTTGTCAGGTTCGACACTGCAATGGCATTTTTGGTGGGCAAGACCGTTGGTCTGCACAGCCCAAGTGTGAACCGCTTTTTGATGTTCAGCTTCAATGACGTGGTTGCCAGTGAGCCGACCAATATCAACAACTTCCCTTACGAGTGGTCCTCAGGGCGCTTCAAAGTGCAGTTTGCCGGCAATGGCAGAGTCACCCTCTACAATGAAGGCGAAGGTGCGTACGTGGTTGTCCATAGCAATGGACATGTGAATATTGCGCGAAGGACCTATCAGCAGCCGCCGCCCAATGAGGCAGACATGCAGTTTCAGGTTGTTGATGTTCAGGGTGGCGGGGTTGCCCTGAAGAGTGTCCCACACAATCGCCACGTGAGGATGAGTGTGGTTCAGACGACGCCTGCCACGGGATGCATTGAGTTTGGCCACAAGGTTGTGATTGCGCAAACATTTGATCACCGCAACCAGTGTGGTTGGTATGGGTGCAGGGTGGCGTTCATGGGATCTGACAATCACATGTACTTCGGCCATGGAGGCATGGACCCTACGAGCTTTTATATCCGACCGGTTCCTGGGAGCAACCAGCAGGGCTGTGTTTCTTACGGAGACACTGTGGCCATTGCATATTCTGCAGAGTCTGGAGCCAATGGATGTGGATGGTACGGCTGCAGAGTCGGTGCGATGGTCAACAACGTGTTTGTCTTTGGCCATGGAGTTGCTGCCAATTATTTCTACATCCGACCTCCACCCAATGGGCAGACCGGCAGCGTGTCCTACGGCGACCGTGTGGTCATCGCTTTCACTTCCAACGCTGGAGACACCAGCAACTGCGGTTGGTATGGCTGTAGGGTTGCGGCGATGTGGGGCAACAACCAGATGGGATTTGGCCATGGAAATGGTCTCACACAATTCCAATTGAACCCATTCCCACCCACTGTCGTGGTGGACGCTTCAACATCCCTGGGCCCTACTGAGACCTTTGAATTGCTGACTGTAAAGCTCATGGACGAGAATGTGAATGAAGATGCGTGGGAGGTGTTTGTAGGCATGGATTGTGAGGGAGAGCCTTACTCCAGAGATCGGTGCGATCTCAGCAACTGCGATGGCTGGGGCGGGGCCAATGCCGAGACCTGCAAGCAGAAATGCGACAACAACGAGGTCCCTCCAGGGTGCCCGCAGAACATGCAGTGTCATGCGTTTTGGCTGAATGTTTTGGTTCAAGGACGCTACTAGTAACAAAGGCATCGCCACTAGGAGCAAGGACGCTACTAGGGGCTCCTGGCCTTACTGCTAGGAGCAAGGGCGCTACTAGGAGCAAGAATGTTTTGGTTCAAGGCAGAAACTTTTGATTTTCACAGACAGTAACTCCTTTCAGAATTTCGCTGCCCACCATTGGAAGAGTCCCGTGTTGCTTCAAGCAGCCGAGGCATTTACCTGGGGTGCCAACAACTGGTGTCAGCTCTACTCCGGATGTGAGACTCTTCACAACAACCAGGGAATCGTGGCTTACAGGCGAGCAAATCCCACCCTACCTGCTCTTCTCCAAGTGCAGGATGATGTTAGTGTGGAGAGCTTTGGGCCTGACGCAGAGTTGGCCTCGAGTTTCCCTTTTGTGATGATGAACTTGTCGAATTTCTCCGGTCTCATCACAAACGAGTCGCATCCAGGTATTCAGCACCGCTTCGGGAATGTCACCAAGGACCTCAACCTGCTTTATGAAAAGGTGGAAGGCTTCTACGCAATCTTGCATGAACTTGGGCTGCAGGGTACAGTATATACAAAAACCTGTTCTTTTTGCGTTTGATGTTTGGTTTATCAGGGTTTACCGTTCGCACGGTTGTGTTTCGCTTGCTCCAAGTGGTTCCGTCCCAGGAGCGCATGGGTGCAGATGGTCCTGTGTACTGCCCTCTTCAATCCTACATGCATTTGCCAACATGCATCACTATCGCAACCTGCCTGCTTCAGTCCTCGGTGCCACAGCACATTTCCATGGCTTTCTATTCCAGTATCATGGAACAGGCGGCCAGGTTCGAGGATGTCACGTGGCAGGTCATTGAATCGGCGCTGTCCTTTGAAAGCCATGGACAACAGACACTCATCCGCGATGCGGTGCCCAGCAAGTACCGCTGTGACGCCTTCGAAGAGGCGTCCAAGGTGGTGGAAGGTCCTACCTATCCGGAGCCATCCAACCACACGGGGCATGCGCTTGTAGAGGTTAGTCATGGTGCCTCTAAGGCCTCAGCAACTTTGGCCTTCTCTGCAGCTTTGCACGGTGCCACTCGTTCAATGCACCGCATCTTGGATTCGCATCATCTTAACAGCTCCCTGGACGCGACTCTGGGGAACTTGGAGGATCTTTGGCGTCCGATTTGTGAGCAACTCGGGTGTGACCCCAGCAACTATTGGGAGATTTTCTTGTCGACCCACCAGCAGACCATGGCCCTCTTGCAGACCTCCGCCGCTGCCACGATGCGGAAGGAGATCCTACAGCGAGCCCAGTTGGAGCGCAGAGTTCAACGTTTCGTGGGCGAGCACGGAGAAGCCTTGCGCGGAAGGTCGCTGGTGAAAGGGGGGCATACGTGGACTACTACCCAATGGCCACCCTATGTAACCCCCCATTCTTCGACAAGGGTTCGTTGCAAAGACCTTGCAAAGGTCTTCCTTTCTATGAATTATCTTTCTTTTCTGATGAATGTACTCGTTGTGGCTGTCAATGCCAGGGTTTTAAATAGAGCCCTACTTTCAACAATGCTGGCCACGCTTGATATTATGCTCTGTGTGGCAGGCTCTGGCGACCCTACGAGGAAGGTCCTGCTGTGGAGAGCGGCAAGGCATATGCTGAAAAGGGGAGAGCAGCTGTACTTCAGTTTCTCGAACTTGTTTTTTACGTTTCTATTTTTCCCTACATCGGGGTGTGGGGTTCATGTTTTTACATGTTTTTACTGTGTGTATGCCGCCGCGTCCTTGTCCTCGTCCTCGTCCTCCGCTCACTCCACCGCGCCAAACTCTGAACGGTGCACTTCGTGTGGCAGTCGCAGTCGCGCTGTGCGTTTGACGTGTTGTGGACTGGCGGACCGGCGCCCATCTGGAAAAACCAAAGCTTGAAAGCAGCGGTTTTCAAAGAACGCATTGCAAATCACGATAGCTTATAGCCAATAGCATTTGTTTTCTTGCATGGACCTTCTTTCCTTCGAGACCATTCAACTTGCCGTCCTGGTATGCGTGTCCAAATATCATGAGGAACAATGACTCCGTATTTGGAGATCTGCAATCTACAACCTGTGTCAGCATTATCGCATCATCAACACATCGCATTATGCACTTACAAATCACCACTCACCATACACACATCCAAGGCTCTTTCCAGCAAACCTCCTAAATGCCACACTGTTTCAAGTCTTCCATTTTTCTATTTCTTCTGAAAACGTACTCTACTGTTCGAGAAGTTTAACAGGTGGCGTTCTCCGGCCCCCTGGCCCCGTCGCAACGCAGTAATGCGAGGCTGGCAGGATGCACGCTGGAGATCCCAAACTGTTGGTGACATGTTGTTTGCTCTGAATGGTGGTTGTGAGCTGAACTGAAGCAGCCTACGCGCGGCGTTCGGCTCCTTTTGTATTGCTTCGTTTTGTTTCTATTCTTTCTCGGACGCTAGCTTGAAGCTCCCGTTTGGCCACTCAGGTTGGTCCCGGCCGTCGTGAAGACCCTTGCGAAGGTGGATGCCCGACGAGCCATGCGCTTCTTGGACCAGGTGGAGTTGAAGAAGTACGTTCAGCGGAAGGCTGAAAGTCAAGGCAAGATCTTGGACTCCAAAGAGCTCTTGGAGGCCGAAGTGGCTTTGACTCTGAAGACTTCCAACACCTGGTTCATTGACAATTGGCCAGGGGGTTTGAAGTGCTTCGGCAAGTTCTCGCTGTTCTACACTCAGGGCTACTACAAATCGATTGTAAGTTCAGGTGCCTTTGGGGCTACCTTTGCTTTTGGCCTTTCAGCTGGTGTGGCCTCCTCCTTGGAACAGCTTGTCTATGGCCTTGAGCCCGCTGGTTGGTTTTCATTCTTCATGAGCTTCAGTGCTGGACTGGCTGCGGGCCCACCCACAGGCCCTTGGTTCTGGTCAGGCATGTGCGCCAGCGGCACCCTTCAGTGTGGCTGCGGCCCTTGTGAGTTCAGTCTCACCGTAGGAGCTGTTGCTATCGTTGCTACAGAGTGGACCAATGGACTAGTCTGCCCCATTCGCTTCCCACCTGCAACAGGCATCAAGTGCTCTCAAGGCGCCGGAGTGTTCTTCACCACGTTTTGCTGCAAGGTGAACATGGTGACCGGTGCGCACGATTGTCGATAATGTAATGTCGACAACGCAGCTTTTTGGTCCTGTGTGCGCCAAGTAGGGCTGCAGAGAGAAGGTTTTCAATACATATCCTTCTTCCAATGGAATGTTCAGTCAGAAGGCTGCATTTCAATGTCGCAGGGCCATGCGGCTAAAAAACAGCGCATGAATGAGAGCCATGTGTAATGAGCAGAAAGTGAGTTTTGAACATGTTTGCTTCCAGAGTTGAAAGATTCTCTTCCTTCCAGCGTGCCAAGCTTCTTTCCTTTTACTTTTTCGGAATGTAGGACGCACTTTGAGGTGCGGAGTTGTGTGACGGCTGAAGCAGACCCGAAAGAGAGAGCACGAGTTTGGGTTCCGATCTGATGAAGAGTTTCTGACGCTTCCTTCCAATGTGGAGCCATTTTGTCGAACAATAGCGCCTACCTTCCAAATAGTTGCCGGAGGATTTTTTTACCTACACGGTGTCCAAGGAAAGCCGATGCGTCGGGCCGTGTGCTGCATGGAGCGGAGAGCTGCGCGCGGAAGCGCGGGCATTTGCTGGCGATGGTGGGGTCAAGGTCGCCTGGACAACCCTCAGATCTTTGTTCCCATTAGGCACACAGTGACTTTCAAGCATTCTGTTGCATGATGATTTTTTGAAAGGTTGAGCCGAACTCTGAGGTGCTTCAAATGAACAGTGTCCTTGGGACTTCGAAGGATTTCAATTGTTCATAGACAGGGATCTATTTTCCACGGACTGACCACGTTGCTCAAGTACTGACCACGTTGCCAGGTGACGGATTGCTAACACCGGCCGAGCTGAAGGAAGGATTGCAGAAGGTGCGCTCCCGATGTGAGCTATTGATCATGGTTCTAAGATGTTCTAAGTAGATACCACAACAATCAGTATTCTTGCGTACAAGATCTACATTTGGTTCGAGTGATATCCAGCAGGCTTTCAGAGTATGTTTTTTGTTTTCCAATTTTGTCGAAAACTCTTGGACCCAAAGCTCTCCCGACTTAGACCATTTGGAAGGAACATGAACGAAATAGACCAGGCCGGAGGAGTCTTTGATCCACGCCCGGGTGATCGGGCCGGCGGTCCTTTTCTTCAGGACAGGGATTTGCCATCGCTCATAGGTTGGAGGCCATCGGCCATCGCTAGTAGGGTGGCCATCGCCTTGACTTTTGATGGCAAAACTTTGGTTGGGTGATTTGTGGGTGGCTTTCGTTTCCAAAAAGCAGAACCAATGCAGCATTGCGCTCGCGCATTTTCCATGCCTTCCATTTATCATCAATTGGGACAAGGCATCAAGGGCAGCTGCAATGCTTCCAAAGCCTTAGTTTTCTTATTTCACGCGACCTGAACCTTTCAGTATTGAACGTACTCGAGTGAACGCGTGCATTCATAGGACAAACCAGTGTATTCAAGCCAGCAGCACGATGCTACCAAGCTCGACATGGTTTTGTCCCAATGATCTTGGTCTCAACGCCCGACGCTTGTCATGGATCAGTGTGGCAGCACAAATCAGTGCAATCTCTCTGGCTCTGACCCGTAGGTGTGTCGTTGGTTGTTCTGAAGCGGCGCTCCGCCGAGCAAGAACAAATCAACTTAAATCGAGTTGTGACCTCCTTGGATTTGTTCGGAAGCGGCGCTCCGCCCAGTAAGAACAAATCTTCTTTATCGTTGTGGAATTTTCAAGCTGTGCTCGCACTTTGCAAACATGAGCTTTTGGTGTCGCCCGCGTTCCCAACGGGCCAGCCTTCCAGTGGCGGTGTGAAGAGTAGGGAGCTTTGTCTCTCTGAGTAAGTTGAGGGTTCAACATACTTTGATGCATCATAATCATATTCAGAATCCATCATAATCCCATATAGTACCGGCGCAAGTGCCTTTAAAACGGGTCCAGCCACATGCAGGTCCAACCGCAGATGGAGGTGTTATCGTGGGTCTTTCTGTTCGGTTGCCAGTGCTGTGCACAGTGGGTGTAGGGTCCGCCGTTCGGAGAGCGCATAGTCAGTGGCTCATGGGTCCAAAGTGTTGGGCGCCTGTTCTGTTCGTGGATATGTTTGGATGCGCCGCGTGAGCAGCGTTTTGTTACTGGATGTTATTGGCGTGTAAAGGTTTGTATGAAAGTGGAACTGCATTCTAGCCCCCGAAGGCAACTCTCGCTGTTTTGTGCATGCGCGAAGGCATGCTAAGCCGAATCGCGTAGGCCCACAAGTATTCATCGCGAAGGCAACTTGCGTACGCAAAGAATCCTTTGAAATGGATTCTTGTGTGAAGTTGGTTTTTGTTGCAGTGATGAGTACTGTATCCGTTTCAGTTGTGGAGACATTGTCCATCTCTTCTGGAATCCTTGGAGGGAAGTGTGGACACCCAAAGAGGTGCGCGAAAGCATATCGGGTATCGCGAAGGCATCGCAAAATAGGCCCCGTAGTTACCAAAAGAACGCTGCTCATGCGGTTCGTACCTCATAGCAACGCCCTTTGCAACCACTTGCGGGTCTTTTGTGTATGCTGCGTCGAGCACCAGGACGATGTCGGAGCCCATCCACCAGCTACGCGTTGCATATATCAGACCACTTGCTGAGTAAGCAGGCAGGGTTGGAGCCCTGGAACTTGAGGTGTGGGAGACTCATCCCTGTCCACAGTTCTTTATCCTTTTGGTGCTCTTGGTTGTTGCAGTGGACCGGTATCACCGAATGTTGATATTACCAGGAACTTGATAAAGACACAGCTGACACGACGACGGCAGTCTTCCAGCGTGCTTCAATATCACGAACAAGTCTTGCCAAATGTCAAGAAATACTCTTGCTAATACTACTACGCAAAAGGTTTTGCGCTGACTGTTTGTTGATGTTTCATTAAGGCAGAGAGGGTGAGGTTGAGTTAGTAGAGGTCTTCACAACGGAAGGCTCCCAGAAACGGACCCCTTCACATTCTCAAACCAAAAGTAGATCTGACCTGCATTTCTATTTGCTCGGATCACTTTGTGTGTCGGCCAATGAACTACACACATCTTGACGTATTTCCTGGAAACAAGTTTCAATTTTCCATGAATTGGGGTCGTTTTTTTTGCAGTAAAGAAGAAGCTACTAGCAGCTCCTGGCATTATACTACTAGGAACAACAAGCTAATAGTTACTAGTAACAAGGGCATTACTACTAGTAGTGAGAAGCTGCTAGGTTGCAGGCCATCGCGTTAGTTTGGAGGCCATTACTACTAGCAGCAAGAAGAGACAAACACGCAGTTTTGCATTGCTGCGATTCGCCGCTCACAGGCCACACCATTTAATCAACTCCGCTCGGGGAGGACCTCCCCTTCTCGCTGTTTTGGAATTCCTTAGACTATTTTTGCTGGGCCAATGGACGCACATGGTCGTCCAGTAAGAATGATCCTATCGCAGAGTCATTTTCTTTTGCCCAGTGGCGGGAAAGTTCCAAAGAGGGTGTCAGAATAAGAAACTGTTGTATTGAAGTAGCAAAGATGGGCCCTAATGAAAGAGGAGCCTGCGAATGACTCCGAAAGATTGGCTTGGTCAAAGAACTGCTGGTGGGAAAGCAAAGCCGACCACCTGCCGCGGTGAGAATAAGATGCAAGTGGGTCAGAATATAAAATAAGACATTGGTGGAGGGAAAGGAACGAGGGACCAATTATATACGAACCCAGAGCAAAGTTTTCAAGCAAGCAGTCGGTTGAGAGAAAGGTGGGTCATAATAAGAAGTTCGTGGAGGGGAAGTGAAAAAGAGAGGTGGTGAAAGACTAGAGAAACGTTTCAGTCATGATTAGAAGCTTGTGAAGGAGGAAAGGGCCAGAAAGACCGAGGGCGAGAAAGAGGGGCTCCGGAGAACAAGGTGGTAGCAAGAGGTTGACGGAAGGAAAGTAAGAAAGAAGGACCCTTGAAGATTCTTAGAGAAAGGGTGGGACACAATCGAAGTTTGTTGAGGGAAAGTAAGCAAACGGGGGCGCGAAAGATTCTGGAGAAAAGAGTTGGGATGGGAAGCAAGAAAGGGGGGGCGGTCGTGAAACACTAGAGAAAAGGGTTGGTCGCAGCAAGACGTTGGCAGAAGAAACATGAAGAAACATAAGAAAGAGGGTTGCGTGAAAGGTTCTATAGAAGATTTGGGCCATAATAAGCAGTTTGTGGAGCGAAAGTAAAAGAACAAGGTCCTGCGCGAGACTCTGGAGAAATGGGTGGGTCATAAGAGGTTGGGGGAGGGAACGTAAGCGTCAGGTGCCGTGAAAGACTCTAGAGAAAGGGGTTGGCGGCAATAAGACGTTGGCGGAAGGAATGAAAGAAAGAACGAAAGAGGGAAAGAGCGAAAGAACGAAAGAAAGGCAAGGCAGAAAGACAGACAGACGGACGGACGGACGGACAGACAGACAGACGGGCAGAAAGAAAGAACGAACGAACAAACGAAAGAAAGAAAGAAAGAAAGCGGCGGCGGCCGTGAAACACTCTACGGAACAGGGTTTGTGGCAATAAGACGTCGGCAGAAGGAAAGTCAGAAAGCGTGAAAGATCCTACAAGGTTTGGGCCATAACAAGAAGTTTGTGGCAGAAAAGTTAAACAGAAGGCCCTGCCAAAGACCCTGGAGAAATGATTGAGTCATAATATGAGGTTGGTGGAGGGAAAGTACACATCAGCCGTACACATCAGCCGTGAAAGACTCTGGAGAAACGGGTTGGTCGCAGTAAGACGTTGGCAGAAGGACAGACAGAAAGAGGGTGGCGCGAAAGATCCCGTAGACAATGCGAACGATCCCATAGACTCTGTACCAAGAACATTGGTGGGTCATAATGAGTGTGAACGTGAACGATTCTAGAGAAAAGGATGGGTGGCAACAAGACGGTGGAAGGAAAAAAGGGAGTTGGCGGCCGTGGCACACTCTGGGGCTGTTGGTGTAGAGAAAGGAGTTAGTCCTCAAAGAGTTGACACTAAAGCATATTCCTGGAACTCATTCCCCCCGGAGGGCCGGGCGTGGCCCTCCAAGATAGCCAGGTGGAAGCCCTTCAAAGGGGGGCAACCTCAA